AGCAGCGGGCAAGGTATGTGCAAACATACTGTACTCCGTACAAAGGGATGAAACAAACGCAAAACATGGACATGGAGACGCCGGTTGCATTTAATATTACACCAAGTATCATTCTTTGTTTTTAACCTATGGCCCAGTTGGTTTCTCGGACTTTTCTAGATGTGTCTGAGAAGAAACTGAACAAAACTTGTCCTTAATCGCCACAACCTCGTAAGTTCCTTCGTCCGAGGTTTTAATGGTCTTGATATGTTCGTAAGAAATGTCATGCTTAATGTCAAGTATTTCCGCCTTCTTCCCCCTTCTGGCGATTGAGCTACGGATATATCTAAAAGAAAATTAGTACTCAGATGCTGGTGAAAGGGAAAAAAGGGAAGGGAGAAAACGCACGTAAACTCAAATGGTGGCGTCCCCCAGAATTCAAAGTGAAGCTCTGCTTCTCCACCTTCGTGTATATCAACAACAGAGGTTTGGCCTCTGCTGATTCTAACACTTGGCATTTCGTGGATGGTTTTCGTTACGTTTTTGTGCGCTTTGCATTTGCCACTGGCACCATCGCTTACGGCGGTGATGGTGAATATACCTGGTCTTTCTGCGATGCGACGGAAATTCGTCGTCCGGGAAGTAGCTTTTCTGGCAACCCCATCAAATGTATAGAATACCTCAAACGGCGCATGTCCTGAAAGCGAGAAAGAAAGCCGCTCACCCACGCAATAATCGGCCTTGGATTCGAGAGGGATTACGGTAGGTACGTCGGAGACTGCAACCCTCACGGATGAGGCATCATATTCGGTTGCCCGCTGGCACCCACGCGCGTCTCTGACCTTGTGAATGCTGACGACATGCTGGCCTAAGTCCAGATGGCGCCGTGGTATGGGAAGCATGTGTCTATTTGCAATGATGTTCGAGATTGACACAAGTTCCGGCTTTGCCTTCGAATGATGTTTTATGGATATTTCAAGGGTGAATGGTGGGACGCCATCCAAAGTGATGGGAATCAGTTCTTCGCCGCTGACATCCTCCTTGCAGAAACCGTAGATTCGGCCAGGAGCATCAAATCGCGCCGATGGCAGAGGGTTCACCTTCTGTGTCACAACCACCGGGTTGCTTCTGGGATCATGGTCATAGAGGTTGTCACCGATTTCCGTAAATGTATACGTGTACAGTCCAGCCTCCGAGGTATCCATTTCCATGGAAGCCGCATGAAGAACTGTCCTCAGGGTTTGCAATCGAACAGCTGGCGAACCACGAGTAATCTTGCGTTGCTGTTCGTATTTAATACTGTACGGCGGACTACCCGACAATCGAAGCTCGAGATTGTCATTTTCTCCTTGGCAAACATCGCGCTTCTCTTTGTGTCCGCCGGCTCCTACAGGAGAACCGTCCACAGCAGTAATCCGCGGGCGAGGTATCCATGAAACCTCGAATATCTTAGCGGCTTGGTCAACAGTTCCAGGACAGGAAGCATCAGTCACTCCGAGGACTTCATAACGCCCCTCGTGTTCCACAGTCAAAGCGCTGTTCTCCTGCCACAACGTCTTCTCAGCGACTGCTGAATCGTGGCTTGTTTTGTACCTCAGAGTCCATGGTCGCTCACCACTCAACCTTAGGGGAATATCAACTTTAGAGCCCTGTAAGGCCGAATATCTCCTACTTTTCTCGATCTCCCCGAAAGATACGTGTGGCGGTTTTGGTCGAGCGTCGATCTGGATACTATCCTTCAGAATTCGTTTGCAGTTTGACCGGTCTTTGACACTCGTTAACACAAGGTTGTATTCGCCGCCACTGACGAGCTTTTCGGTCACGATGCTCGACACGTCACTCTCTGTCTCTAAAACGTGCTTGCTTTTCTTGCCATTATGAACAAGTTCGTACTGCAAAGTCCATGGCGCTTCACCATGCAAGGCTACATCTACAGACACAGGCTCACCGAAGCAAGCCTTCCGCACCGCTCTAGACCCAAGGAAATGAGCAGAAGCAGGAGGCTTAACGTGTTGTTCCAGAACGGGGGCCTTATCTTTGAGAGGTCGTGGTGCGTACACTGTGTCTGCGATATCTAAGAAGCGATAGCGGTAGAAGCCCGCTTCAGACGGAGTAAGGTCCAGCTGAGTTCGCAGCCCCTCAATCAACTGGGTCTTGGTCTCAATGCCTTTGGAATGTTCAACGATGTACCGGAGCCGGAACGGCGGGGATCCTGTGAAGTCTAAATCGACCAACAAGCCGACCGGGTTGTTTGCGCATTTATCAAAAATCTTTTCATACCTGACAGCCAGCTCAGGTTCAGGAGGGTTATGCAGATAACAGGACGATGGTTCCAAAATTTCGCCTGTGCAAAATTGACTAGAAATAGCATCCAAAACGTACCACCCTGGATCTTTTATTTGAGGCTTTTGGCTCAGACTCTTCAGAGACAACTCTCGGACTCTACCAGGCATATCGCCAGCAGACTCATGATCGTTGTTGAAAGAATATACGATAGAAAAAGGCCCATCTTTGTCATACCCTTGTCCTGACTGGTGAAATTTGACGGGCAGGTCCACACTGTCCCCTCGTGCAACTTCTATGAAATGCTGATCATTGCATCCAGATAAAGATAATCGGGGCCTTTCATGGACAGAGAACTGATGCCATTGGGACAAGTATTTTGTAGGCAGTCGATCGACCTCATCCAAAAATGCTGTATAATTGGCGACGTTGCCACAGCCATCGTGTACTTCTTCAATCGCATAAAGCCACTCCCCACTGAGGTTCAGTGACTCATTCAACGGTACCTCGATTATTTGGCTCTGGGCCCAAGCAATGTCTGGCTCACGCGAATTGACAAGGGTACCAATATTCCTCTGACCTAGTAACGGTGACCGTAAGTACTCTGGTTGAATGTTTTGGAAAGAGTATCCTCGATCACGACGATTCACTTGTCTGCTGTATTTGATCTTCAGCGGCGGTGTGCCCTCAACCGTCAGGACCAAATTAGACAACTCGCCTCTACACTTATGGGTGTGGGAGCTTTTGATAGAGGCGCGAGGACATGATACAACAAGTGCATCAGACCTTCGCATACGAACGTCAAGATTGGACTCATCAACTACCCTTTGGAGGCGGTATATGCCCGGCCGCCGAATCGGAAGTAGAATGTCACGGTGCAAATCGGTGTCAGATCCCTGGTGCTTCTTGCCTGCCTGACGTTTCATCTGTTTCAGCTGCTTTGAAGTTATTGTGATTGTTTCATTGCCGCTGCTAGTAAAATCCAAGCGGAGTAACTCTATCAGGATAGGGTCGGTCTGGTTGATTCGAATAGGCAGATTGACGGTGGTCTTCTCTGAATCTATACAGAGAGGCGTCTGGTCTGGATTTAATACGGCAGATCTAAAATCATTAGTACATTAGACCAAAACGCAAGAATTTGTGGGAACCTCACCCTTCAGGCAGTATATGAACTATTTGTTTTCCTAGTATGAGTGAGGCATTATGAATGATATCACCTGGCTTAACACTCCGTTCAGATATTGACAACTCTCTATCGTAGGCCAGTTTGACTATTCCTGATACCCAGGCACCAATTGGAATCTAGTCAAAGTTAGTAAGTCTGACCACTGTATTGGGAGGAGTCTCCACATACCGGAATTCGAAACATGAGGAATACATTGCCAACTACGTGTATCAGAAAAATCGCAAGGGTTGTAGGAAAAGCCCATTCTAGCCAGGGTATGCGCAAGGCCTGAAGCCCAAAAAGGAACACTCCGTCAATACAAGCCCACTTCAGAAATAACCAGGTTGCATCTAAATCGTCCGAAGCTTTCCAAGATTCATAAAGCCGCCAAGCGTTGAGCGCGACATAAAAGGCCACTATATAGAGTCGTTGCGATGGTGCATCTATCAGCTCAACTGGGATAAGTGGCAAATTTGCACCTTGGGTTGTCGGCGATGCCTTTGAGGGGGACCTTTGGAGTCCTGCGTCGCGCTGTTTAGATCTAGATGGGGAGCTATAGGAGTCTCGCGATCTCTGCGACGGTTGGGGCGTCTGAGGGAAAGCAGACCGAAGTCGGGGAGTGTCATTCATGGCATGCTGTGATCGCGGGGTACCCACGGTCTACTAATATCACCTATACAATCAGTCAGCATATCCAGGAATGCGCAGCCAACACACTATCGTTCACTATTCTAGGTCCAAGCGCCGATACAAGCATACCTCCAGCAGAAAAGAGGCCCTCTATCTCTTAGCCGGTCTGGGGAGGCAAAAAGGTCCTTGCACTTTTGTGATACCTTGTGCTAGGTACAGATGCCGTACAAAGACCTTCTTTTACCTGTCGCCACCCACTGAAAATCGATGTTGGAAACCGACTTGAAGCGCTAATTCGACTAAAGCGCAAAAGATAAAGAAAAGAAGAAGGGGGAAAAAAGATCACTGTGCAAGAACGAGAGTCCGGCAATAATCTTCAACGCGTGGAGTCGCGTCCAAGGTAGCTTCAGCCAATGGGGAAACGGACCCAATGGTATAGGCGGTCAGGCCAACTTAAAGAGGTTAGCTACTACGGAGTACTAAAGTACCTACCTTGCCTCAGCTCCAAGCATCAAACACTACTACTACTCCGTAGGTACCTAACCTAGAAGAACTTGACGGGTATAGATGCATGTTGTCCACGGTAGTGTTCTTACGTTTCGCAAGCACCAGCCTTCCCTTATTTATCTACATTTTTTTTGGCGCCCTTAGTTGTTGTTCTATTTCGTCGTATCCTTTAGTTATTCAGTCATCTTAATCCCTTCATAACCTGATTTCTTTCTCAGCCTCGCCTCTTTTATGACGGTGGCCAGTATAGTAACGGTTCTTTTACGATAACCAAGCCTGCCCAATGGTAAATTTCTAACATATTACAGACCCTGGTACTTCATATTTGCATTGCATCCACGACCTATCGAAATCATTCCATCTCAACCCTCTCGAGGGAATTGGGAAAACGGAGGGTGCATTACACGCATGACTTTGCGACGACGGTTGAACAGTCATGGCCAATCGCCTAGATAACTCTGCCAACGACCCATGTCGGTCAGCAACGGTGCAGGAGAAGGAAAGCTGGAATGGCTTTTGTGAGCTGGAGTCGGAGCCTGTAATTATTATTATTATTATTACTATTACTATTGGTATTCAGTTTTCCTGTTTGTGCTGACTTCCTCTAAGGCTCTTTTCAATGTGATGCTGCGAGAATTCGGGGTGAAAGGCGTCAAAGTCCAAGAAGTTGTATCATTAGATGAAGAGATGATGGCATTCTTAAAGTAAGGCATATTGAACATGGTGCACCGTTTTCTACTAACCGAAGCACCTGTGGCCGCATAGCAAGCCTGTCTATGGTTTGATCTTCCTGTTTCGTTGGCGGGAAGATGATCCGGAGAAGCAAGAGGCGAGCTGCCCAGAAGGGCTTTGGTTTGCAAACCAGGTCGGTTTACCCCATTGCCCCCACACTTCCTCTAACGTCACTGAGGAACTCATTGCTGATAGTTTTAAAATAGACTACCAGCAATGCTTGCGCCAGTGTTGCCCTGCTGAATATTGTCAACAATATAGAAGGCATCGAGCTTGGGGATAACCTACAGCATTTCAAGGACTTCACGATGCCGTTTACTCCTGCGCTTAGGGGAGATGCCATCAGTAATTTTGAATTTGTCAAACGAATACATAATTCATTTGCAAGGTTGGAGTTTGCTAGCAAGCCTTTCACCGTTTCTTCGCCACGAGGAATGTATCTGACTTTTGTATAGGAAAATGGATATACTCAATTCAGATCTTCAACTAAAGCATGAGGCGAAATCTAGGCGTTCTCGTTCGAGTAAGGGCATGCACGATGAAACTGATATAGACGCAGGGTTCCACTTTATCGCGTTTGTCCCTGCGTTGGGGAAAGTCTGGAAGTTCGATGGCCTGGAACGCCAGCCCCAGGCACTCGGTACGTGAAGGGCGGCGGCAGGAGAAGCGTACGGTACATATCGCTGACGTGAGCCACAGGGCCTTGTACTCCTGATGAGGATTGGTTGGGTTTGGTAAAACCGCACCTTATCACCAGGATGACTGAATATGAAGAAGATCAGATTGAATTCTCAATCCTCAGTCTCGTTAGGGACCCGCTTGTAGACCTTATTGGTAAACTGGCTGTCAATATAAAGTGTCTGGAGATGCTTAATCAGCGCTTAACTACCCAAGCTCCTGGAGTGGCCCACTCGGACTCGCCGTTTGCAAGTCCCATCCTAGAAAATACTATTCTGGGTCCGGATAAGTCCTTTGATATAACAAGAGAGTCTCTCGATCAGGCAATTGTTCCAGTGGTATTGGAGAGGTACCATTTGTTCTCCGTGCAAGAAATAGCCGAGTTCCAACGAAAGCTTTGCAATGAACAGCAGATGTTACGAGCTGCGATTCGAGACGAGCAGCAAACCCAGCGGGCGGATGACGACTATGCGGCAGGGAGGAGGTACGATTACGGGCCAGCTATACGAACTTGGGTGCGATTCTTGGCCCGCAAAGGGCTGGTTGAGAGCTTAATACCAGTGGAAGAGGTATGATACAGCGGGGTGGCCCGAGGGGATTGCGAGCCTTTCCTGTACTGGAGAAAATTACTGCCGACGATAGGGCAGTTATTTACTGGTTGGTGATAGTAAAATGGTATCAGGTGAAAAGGTGAGCCCGAACAGGATGGAAAGACAATATTTGATACTAATGTAGTATCGCGCCTAGAGTACGGAGTACTAGTTAGATTAACACAACATAGAGGGGAGAGGGCCCGGGGGGTGCAAGGAGAGAAAGAAATGGATATGGAAACCACTGCCCTGGTCTGAAGTTGGACGGTTCACTGAAGTACTAAACGGACCTCGTGATGCGCCGATTGGTTGTCATCTAATCTTTTTAATAAAATGTATTGAGGTAAAGACAACTATGAAACTCTAAAACTGGTCTACTGTTTTAAGGTTAGTAATTAATCGATGCATGACTAGCTAGCTAGTTAACTAGTATTAGTAGTTACTGAACCATTCCTGACCTCCCGTTTTCCTTCGTTGTATACTTGTGTATGTACGACAAACATTCTTCTTGCTTTGTGAAATATTTGTATAGTGATATCAACTTCTCGCTGACTGCTATTTTGGGATCCAGATTACTTAGAACAGAAGCACTCTTCATAATTACTGCTTGGCGCAAATGATCTTACTCTAGATAGGTAATTCCTCTGGGAGCCTTTCGCCCTCTTCTTACTTGTGTTACGTCCTCGAAATACCGTAACAATGTACGCAGTACTAGTATGTACTGTACTAATAATAACCCCAGCTGTTTATTCCTTACAAACCAGAAATCAATCAAAGTGTCGGTGACGTACAGTCAAGGCAACCACAAGAAAATACCGAACGTCACCGCCTCTAGAGGAAGTGGTCATAGAACTTTCATCGCCGTTTTGTTACAGCCCGAATTCTGGTCTAGAAGTTTCATTCTTTTTGTTCTTTGGTACTTCTTCTTCATCTTCTTCTTCGGTTCCCCTGAGTTGAGACTTTACCTGGTTGCTTATCTTCATAACTATCCTTTCTCGTGGCGGGGGAGCGAAAGGCGATTTAATCCCCCTTCTTTGCATTTGGTCGCCACACCGATTCTGCCCATCGAAAGACAATTTTTTTTTTCTATATCGCTGCTCTCTTCAGCCATACACTTACCTACTGACACATTCTCTATTTCAGCCATTCAAAAGCTAGGCCTCGCTATGTCTCCCCCAGCAGCATCGGATGCTCCCGAAAAGACCCCCGACGACTCTTCCAAGTTGAAAACCTTCCTCTCTATTTTAAAGAAGTATGTGTAGATGGCGGTCTTGATTTTCATATTCTGTTCGATCCATACTGATTCGATGGTGCCGTGGCTCTATAGGTTTATTGGGGTCGCTGATATCGCATCTGTTCGCTTTTCATTACCTGCCCACCTTCTAGAGCCGACGCCCAATTTAGGTAGGTGGCTTCCTTGAGGCTACACTGGTGCCCACTTAACGAAGTGATTACTGACTAGGTCGGGGGTCTGGCAGAATACTGGAACTATTTGGACAGACCAGAGACCTTTGCAAGGTCAGCAAGGTAGCCTACCTTTCACCAGGGGCTCGTTTTCTGACGGGAAAGTCACAGCATTGGTCAATCAGACGATCCGCTGGGCAGGACGCTTGAGGTCTTAAGGTTTTGGTTCACAAAGGACCTGGTATATCTCTCCGTGGTACTTCAGTTGTTGTGAGAGACCGGTACACTGAAAGTGATCATAGAAATACATCAAGGGTAAACCGTGCAAGCCGTATAATTCTACACTGGGTGAATTTTTCAGAGTGCGTTTGACTTCCCCACGAGTGTTCACACGCTTCTGCCTGAATATAGACTAACTTATACACTCAAAATTTCAGGCTACTTGGGAAATTGATGCTGCCCTCCCAGAAGTACAGGTACATTCCAAGCCAGGGATAGCAAATGGAACCTCCACTGCGAAGGATGGCAATGCTGAAGCGGTCAAGGTATGCTACCTGACTGAACAGACATCTCACCATCCACCAGTATCCGCATTCTTCATCGACTGCCCTCAACGAGGGGTTTCAGCACGTGGCTTTGATCAAATTAGTGCCAAATTTACAGGCACAAGCATTCGCGTTGCCCCCGGTCAGCACAATCTGGGGATCTTTGTCAAAATCGCCCCGAGAGATAATGAGGAGTATCAGCTGACCCACCCTGCTGCCCATTTGGGTGGCCTGTTGAGGGGTGCACTGGCCATAACCGTCTCAGATACGTGCTACGTAACTTGCCCCAAAACACGCATCAAAGTGATTCTACAATACCTGGAAGATGGCTGGATTGGCCGAGCCCAAAACAGGGTCGAAGGAGTGGTCTTTCGGTATGATCCCGACATCGATACCACGACAAAAATCAAAGATGTGCCAGAGAGCGATATTCTTGCCAAAATTAGCGGCTCATGGCACGGACAAGTCTACTACACTTTGTCTGGGGCAGGTGAGCCCCAGCTTCTAATCGATATTACCCCACTCTTCCCAGCCACCAAGAGTGTGCCTCCTGAGGCGAGTCAACTGTCCAACGAGTCTCGCAAGTTTTGGTCCAGCGTTACCGAGGCGATAGTAGATAAAAATTATAACCAGGCCACCAAGTGCAAACAAAATATCGAAGAGAGGCAGCGGCAAAAGGCTGCTGAGAGACAGGCAAAGAATGAGATATGGCAACCTCGGTTCTTCACGGACGCTGTTGCTCCCTTGGGCAAACCAGAGTTGACTGAAGAAGGGCGCAAGGCTCTTGACGGACTTTATAACGGTGACTACAGCTTGAAAGAAAGTGAAACAAAAGGCGCATAGACTCACATCTCTTCTGGTTGTGAATGTACATACATACATGAATTTGGCGTATAAAACGAGAGGCTACGAAGTAGTCCTTGGCCTACGTACCATTACAAATTACTTTTGGAGCTTCCTTCTTGGTAATTTACTGAGTCCGTACATTGTTCTCTTTCTCCATTGACCGTCGCATTGCATTGGTGCCCTCAAAAATTTGAAGCTTCTAAAAGTGCAGGAAAAAGACACTGTTCTGGGCGCATACGATAAAGGGTTTGGATAAATTTAAGACAATAAAAAACAAAGCGATACAGTCATCACCACGGAAGCATGTTTTACTAGGGGCGAACATACATGTAGCTAGAAAATCTTGTTCATTTGTCCCAACGAATCCAGCCTGTGAAGTCTAAGCTTCCAGTCGATATTGACCACGAGTTATGACCAAAGCGGGCGGGCTACCACCTCCTGTAAATGAACAAAAATTACAGAAAATATGACCATTATATAAGCTTGTATAGGTTGGAGTCGCATATATGATGGCCCAGGCCAACAGAAACTACCTTCAGCAAGAAGATGAGAAGTATGATAATGATTACAACCACAATAGCCACCACCCAAACGATAAAAAGAAGAGTACTCTTAAGCTCAATATACTGCTCAACATAAGATTTCCCATAGTTTCTTGAATGACTCATAACTGCCAAATCCATGTTCACCGCTGCGCCATCTCAAAACGCCAAAGGAAACCAACCGACGAGTTGGACGATATCGTTGCCCTAGGTATTGGCAGTGACTACTACCTTGTTAAAACCAGCACTCACTATCTTCGTTATCTCTTCATTCTTATGGGGCAACAGCGATAAGGCGTAGGCTACATCATTCCATCGCCGCTCGGTCTCGCATCGTGGAAGGCGAGCAGCCAGCTTATCAGCCAGTTGCCGGGCATGTTTCTCCTGCAAAGCCACAAACAAGATTAGAAGCTGTACATGGGGAAGACAAGGATACCCGAAGCACTCACTTTTTCGATGAATCCGATCAGGAACCTGACAATACGTCTCAATGAAGCTTCTTCAAGGTTCCGCTCTGCACTCAAGAGACTGAACATATCAACGAAGTGATTGTACACTGCATTATCCTTGCTAGCTAGCTCCGTGAAGAACATGCGCGCTAAATCAGCAATTCTTTTGTCGTCATCTTCCAAGCACTTGGCCATCTCGCCTAATTGTCCCTTGACTTTGACCTGGCCTGCTAAGATGAGAAAAGTTAGAGTCATGAGGCATGTGCGCTTGACAGAGACATCATCATCATTGAGCCTGCGGTATAGAAAGTCTGTGTTCTCGTCAATAAGATGATTGAAACACACTGCCATATCACCCAGCGTAATTACTGCATTGCTACGAACGATTGGGTCTTCAGAACGTTCCATAACAGTGATTAAGAGAGGGAGGTTTTTCTCGCAGTACTCCGCAGAGACACACATTAATTTGGCCATACACAAAGTTGCTGCTGCCTGAAGGTTACGGTCAGGGTATGTGTTGCTGTTGGCGCAAATTTCTGTAACCAACGGGCCAAAGTTGGACAAGAGAGACTTATTTCCATAGAGCAGTTCTCGCTCACGGATGTGTGCCATGGCATCTGTAAAGTCATCTTCCGTTGTTCCACCGATGAGATCAAGTTCATCATCTTCGGTGGGGTCTTTGCTCGTTTGAGGTGTTGCAGTGGATGCTTTGTTTTTCTCCTGTTCCGCTTTGCGGCGCTTGAAGTCAAGCTCGCACAGCTCGAGGTGTACTATTTGCTTGATTGCAATATGTCCAACAACAAATAGCAGTTGGGAGAGCACAGCAGATGAGGACTTTCTGGTGGTTGGGCTGTCTGTTGACGCTGTCCCGGGATGCTTCTCGTCCCCATCACTAGCACCTTGTGAAGGAGAGCGCTGTGCTTGTGGCTGGAAAACAGACCTTGTCTTCCGCTTGAGGATATCAGAGCATAAAACATCTGGATGTTTAGACAGTGCATATATGGCACTAACAGCTTGCTCTGCCACCCCATACCATTCTTTATTGTCAGACACGATCTCGACAATAGCCGCGAGTTGGGTAAGGATGGGGTGATCGTTAATTAGTTTGGGAATGCCGACTTCTTTGGACTTTGCCTGTCGGCCCGGCACCATCCGTCTCAGGGCAATGCATGTATATCTCGCAAGAACAAGGTCCGCCCTTCCCAAACTCCCAAGACCAATCCGCAGCATTACCTCAATTTCCTTTATAACCACATCGGGGTCAGCAAGAGCAAGCATGCCAAGGACGATGATAGCACCCCGGCGTTGGGTTTTCGAGATCTCCTTCCTTTGGACCCCATATACCTGCCACAACTTCGCAATGACAGCATCCGAAATATGACCAGCCTTCATCATAGTACTTAGCAGTTGCTCAAGACATGTCAGCTCAGCGGGTGTAGAGCCAAACGTCAGACTGATCATGTTCCGAGCAACGTAGTTTGCCGCATCGTTGGGGCTGAAGGAATCTGGCGCTTCGAAAAAAAGACCTTTGTAACAGTCAATGAGATGGGTTTGGACGCCTTTCCCTTCGTCACTGTTGCCTTTTGTCCAAATAAGTCGGAGCATTCGTCGAATTCCACTACGGGATGTCTCCACCTTGTATGCGTCAAGCACAACAAAAAAGTCCATGGCTTCTATAGCCTCACTCTTATTTCTAGACGACAGCAGTTGTGTGACGACTCCAGAGGCAGTATGCAGAACCTCAATGAACCGAATGGCTTCGTTATAGTATTTTCTAGTCAACTGAAGCCGCGCTAGCAGTTCAGATGTTGCAGCTTGCTCGGCGGCCCTTTTCACCGCTGCGGCTTTCTCTTCTTCAGTCATGCGCGGTGCTTTGGAAGGGGATTCGTCTGGCATCTGCGTCGCATCATCTAAGAGTTCGCTATCAACATGCGAGGCCTCGCCACCGTCGAAACCTGGTGTCTCAGGGGGGCGGAGGGAATTCAGTTCGGCATCAACAGCATCAAGTCTGGCTATCCACTCTTTATAGGAGAGCTGTCCACCATGCATGATACTGAATGGGTGAGTAGACACCAGCTTGGAGAGTAATTTAATTGCGTTTCGTCGTACGTTGCTACTCTTGTCTTCCAGGCTCCTTGCTGCCAGTTCTGCAACTGCCTGCCGCCTTTTCGGGAACTTCTGATCCAAATCGCAGATCCTCATATACACTTGGATGGCACGGCACCGACAGTAGGGGTTAATGTCTAGGAAGCGTTCCTCGAGCACATCGAAGAACGCATTAATCTGGGTCTTGTAATTATCACTGCGCTCTTCTTGCCGACTGAGATCAGCAATAAGGTTCCCGCAAACCTCAATCACCGCACAACGAAGGGTATAAGACTGTTGCTCAGTCAGATGCCAACATATACAGATAGGAAGTGTAAGATGGTAGTACTTCGCTGTCAAGCTGCTTAGCCAAGAGCGTCATTTGTTTTATAATCAATCGTGGGGCAAGCTCAGAAAGTTTCACGATAAACGCAGATACCGACTTTGGCCCTCGTGTATCATTGGAATTAAACTCTTTATTTCCAAGCTCCCTGCCACATATTAGCTGACATCCCAGCAGTTCCAGGGTATGAGTTTAGTACTTCAGTATCTCATCCGACAGCTGAGGATAATCATATTGCTCAGCAAGGATGTGCAAAAATTCAGCCATAGGCTCGGACAGATGCTCAAAATATGTTAAGCTCTGGACGATAGATGTCTGAGCGCCTTCATTATGGGTCAGCTCCATTGAAGCAATCTTAAGTATCGTGAGCACTCACCAAAAGCATGGCCATGATGCTTGACCGCAATACATAGAACCTTGAAGGCGTGCATGCGAATAGTCATACTCTTTACTCGCTGCTCACTTTCGAGGATGAGATAGATCGAACGTGTAAATAGATTAACAAATGTGTCGCGGTCTGGTGTAGTCAAAAATATCCTGCTGAGCTTGAGCTTCATGACCTTGCACATAGTCTCCATGGAAATCTGTATCTGGGCTGTCCAGTCCCAATGACCATCTCTCATGCTAGCTTTCGACCGACCCGACTTCCCTACACCTCTCCGAGCAGGAGCAGCATCCGCAGGTCGCTCGGCTGCCTTTACTTCCACGGCAGAAAGTGCCCATTGTAATAAGAAACCATACATTTCTAGTAAATGCTTATGGTGTTGGACGCCATCCGGTTCGTCGGACTCGAGGTCTCCGTGGATAATATCTGCTTCAACGGATAATCCTGACACAATTAGGTCGAGAAGCTTGCTCAGCGACCTTATGGGCAAGATTGAGCAGTGTCTGCGAAGTTGAGCTAACGTTAGGGTTCTTTCCGAGCGAAGAGTTCGGGGGATGAATCAGAGGGTCGAGCGCACTTTAAGAGAAACTGTAAAGAGTCGAAGAAGGACGGCCTGGCTAGACCTTCCGGGTTCTCAGCTATCGCATCGACAATAGGGTTTAGGACATTATCAATTAATGCAGTGGACAATTGGTCCGGGTCGGCTTCACATTCCAAGAGTTCGGGTTCAGCATCAGTGGTAGGAACAGAGGTTGGGTCACTCAGATAATACTTCAGTGACTCGTTGATGTCGAACTGAGCCCTGTCCTCCATGATGGGAGCGGCTGCGAGGGATATCCTCGAGGGGCGTGTGGAAACTGAAAGACTTGGTTAGGCGGATAATGGGTGTCGTGGGGTAAAAGAGGGTTGGAGCGACGAGACAGCGAATGCGGAAGACAAGTTTGGTGGCGGCAGGCTTTTGTTTGTATTTTTCCTCTTTGGTGATAAGCTGGCGCTCTGGATCGGTAATAATACACATTTGATACAAATAATTACATCACATTGCCAACAGATGGGGCTTTTCCTCCCACCATAATACTGCTTAGGGAGCCTGCAATTGGTGTATTGCAGTATTTATAGTATATATGGTACACTCTTTTCATAAAATCTATGTTCTACAGTCTGCAGATCGTGGAGACAGATGGTAAACACAAACATAGCCTTACCAGATCGGGAAATTTTTGCACGCTTTCATCCATCAATTTGCTCCAAACTCCGCGGAACTGGTTCATGAACCCTTTCCGAAACATAGAAACTGCAACACTGCATCATCGGATGTCCTCCACGCATACACATACGTGCCATGAACTAAATTTCCTTCGTGTCACACGCTATTTATTACATTTCAGCCCTTTTGCCCTTCTCAGATTAATATTGTGTGCGAAGCTTCTGCAAACAATTATCCCCTTGACTAAAAGCCGCGAAGCCTTCTGGCGACTTATGCGGTGCCATGTCCACTCACCATCCAGCGCCTACTGGTATTTTTGAGTTACAGAAGCCGGGCCCTTCGAGACCATCACATGCGCTAGCAGGATCCAGATACGCAAGAGACGAAGGTGCGGCTACGGACAGCGATGCATCCGTGATGGAACATGAAGATGAAGACCTCCAGGACGAGGAAGACGTCGATGAATCAGTGAAAGAGGATATGAAGAAACTTGAGGATACGTTTCCCGGAATCTCGGATAGGTTTCGCTTGGTAAATAGAATTGGTGAAGGTAGTCAACATCCATATTTGCTTGCTGCTTTGCGTTCGGCTTCCCTTGGTTGACACATCGCAAACCTATAGGCACTTTCTCTACCGTGTACAAAGCGGAGGATTTGTTGTATGATCATTACAGGAACGATTGGGATATGTTTCAAGGTCATCAATGCGACAGTTGGACGAGCCCTCCCTCAAAAAAGCGACGTGTAGAGGGAGAACGTGGACAATCCTTGCCTACCAAGCGACAGAAACCTCGTTATGTTGCCCTAAAAAAAATATACGTGACTAGCAGTCCATTTCGTATTCAAAATGAACTTGAGCTGCTACATGACCTCCGAGGCTGTCGATCCGTATGCCCCCTGATCACAGCCTTTCGATACCAGGATCAGGTTGTAGCGGTCTTGCCCTTCTTTCCTCATACCGATTTCCGTATACAATACCGCACATTCTTGGTTGCGGATATGCGACATTACTTCCGGTCCCTTTTTACCGCCTTGCACTCAGTCCATAAACACAATATCCTCCATCGCGATATTAAACCGACGTAAGAGGACGCGTTTGTGGATCTGTTTTGTTTTGATTTGCTGACGATCGAATGAACCCGCAGCAATTTCCTTTATAATCCAGAAATTCGAGAAGGTGTCTTGGTGGACTTTGGTCTGGCTGAGGTAAGTCTATAACCAGCAGGTGGAATGAGAAAAAAGAAAGAAAAAGAAACACCCCCACAGTGAACTGCCATCATGGCCTTATTATCTGACCACCCGGTGTAGCGCGAGGGGTCCGAGTATACAGGCACGTGTCTTTGTGCCAACCCAAGCTATGTCCGTCGCAGTAGATTGTTACAGAGCTACTACTCCACCCATTGCTCAACCTCGACTTTGTCGGCCGGCTACCCGAAGAACGATTCTAGACCATCAAGGCGTGCTAACCGAGCCGGAACCCGGGGTTTCCGTGCGCCAGAAGTTCTTTTCAAGTGTACATCTCAGACGACGAAGATAGACATGTGGTCGGCAGGAGTAATCCTTTTGACTTTACTTGGTCGTCGCTTTCCTTTCTTCAACTCCGCTGATGATGTTGATGCTACGATAGAAATGGCTAGTATTTTCGGGACGCGTCGCATGAAGACGGCGGCAGCTATGCATGGGCAGATATTTGAAACAAATATTCCAACAATTGGAGAGAAAGGATATAGTTGGGAGAAGCTTGTAAAGTGGGCCAGCTGTGTGGAGGAGTTAACTGAGAGCGAGAAACAAGCAACTCGCCTTCTGGCTGGTCTCATGGAATTGGATCCATATAAACGATTGAGCGCCAGAGATGCCCTACAACACGAGTTCTTTACGGACCCCATAGAACACGATGTTGAATGGGGAGGGAATCCCGAGGATAGTGCTGAATCTGTGGAGGAGGACGAAGCGGACAAAGATGACGAGGCTGATGAGGTCGCAATGATTTAAACCCCAGAACAATTTATGATAATGATATCTTCTTAATACGCTCTAGGGAATTTTTGCTCCAAAAAGGTCGCCCAGCCACTAGTTCTATATGTTGACTACAGGATCGCTGCGATTGGTTTAGGCCGTGTTCACGCATCGTGCAGTTCCACCCTTGTTCAAAAAGGCTTTGAAGAGTTGTCCTGCAGATGGTACGACCGGTCGTATTCCAATGGTGGTTATATCACTCATGATTCTATTCGGGCACTATGTACTAGTTGAGTGTTCATCTCGCTTGACCTGTTACCGTTAATCTGAACTGGCCTCCCCAAAATTGTAATGGCCAGTCTGCGATGCGTGCTGAGTGGCGCCCTTTTCTCCAATGAAAACCCGACCACATGTATTGCAGCGAATACGGAAACCTGCGGTATCAGTATAGTAGTGCTTACTCTGCAGTACCTTACAGAGCTCTAGCGCTTTTTGTAGCACTAAAGGATCCGCAGCGTCAAAGACCTTGGTGTCAAACTCAGGGGGTGCATATGAATGGGTGAAAGGAGGATCGGACGGAGATAGCGCAATGGTATCATAATGAATACCTGAGTAAACTAAAATACAGCGAGTTGGTGGACCTTCGTTGAATCGATCAATGCGGAGCGTTTGTACATCGATTGAGCAGATTTCGATATCGAAATGCTTGCTGAGGATGCTAAGTTCGATACCTCCACCCCATGAATCCTCATTCTGTATCCAGCGGCAATAGTCGTCCGGCTTCTTCTCTAGCACTGCCTCCGAGTAGAGGCCCGGATTTTGTTGGATAGTTTGTGCGACAACAGACCTCAACTCGTTCATCGCATCCATACCCCCCATGAGAGCACTGCCCACAGCGCGGAACAAACACGAGTTGTCGTCAGGCATAATACGTAAGACAAAGGTACCCGCATGCTCAGGAGATGGAATCTCGGGTGAATCGTCTGAGATAGCGTCGCTGGACGTGTGTGACATCGGATGCTTTTTGAGTGGCTCTTGCGAGCTGGGTGTTAACCCCTCATTACTGGGAGGTGCTTCTCTCTTCGTTATCAGAAGTTGCTCCCCATCCAGCTTAAACCCGATATCAGAGATCTTCTGGTTTGATTGAAGCTCATCTAGCAGAAAATGTTTGAGATCGGGATATCCGTATCTCACATCGTAGGATTTCAATCCAGTCTTATCCACAATCTGAGTTCGGAGATCGTTCACGGTAGCACTATCATCAAGAGTGATAGTGGATTGTCCATTTGGTCCACGGATACGAAATCTCATCTTCAGAAGTGGGTACTAGTATACCGGAGATTGGTAATAAATCTCGTGGGGGTAGGGAAGGGAGGAAGGAAAGCAGCGCGGAGTAGTAGCGGACTTGAGGAGATAGAACCCGATAACTAACTAAAGGCAATATGGATTATAAACAGCACTCAACTACTAGTGGGGCGAAGTGGGAACACGAAGAAGGAGGGGGAAGAGCTCTTGCCTTCAGGTTCCTCTTCCATACTATCGGTATTGTAAATATGCCCAGCATCAGTAATATTTACCACTCTGTATATCAAACAATGGAAGTCTGGGCGGTTAGCCGAAACGATTTATATTCTCAATAATTTGTGCTAATAAGGAAGAAATAGCAGTAAAAACCTTTTGGTTATCAGATTAATGATTGTACTCGAAACCCTACATAATGGGAGATGACATGAGGACACATTAGTTGGTGGGATTTTTCAGATTTCAAACTATTTCTTAATTTTTACCTACTGTTTTATGTACATACATACATACCAGATATATGTACTCCGTATACGGAGTATCAACTCAGATCCTCCCCACATCAAATACTTAGTAGCATGCGGATGGTAACCCGCCTGTGATGGTTCTTTCAAGCCTACAGAAAGGTAGTACTGTAAATACCTATATATATTATATATATGCCATGGTACAGTACCCATGTTTTTCATGTCGTAGTACAGATTGGTATGATACACCTATATACCAATAAATCATTTGAGCGATAGAATGAAATAATAGCATTCTACACGGAGTACATTCAGAGTATATCCATGAGACTTATCGATCTCCTAGTACTCCAAATGTAGTTAGTAGTAAGTATGTATGTAGATACCGAACTTAGTACAGTTGGTAATCACTTGGAATTTAGGGGTTCCTTTAGTACCTAATATAGCACAGTACAGACACTTATAAAGATACTGCTCCCTAGGTACAGTACATAGGAAGTATTGTGTATATTGTACATAGTTATATGTATACTCTGTACATGACGGTCTACCTCACCATAGCTATACTCCGTATGAACTTGTAGCAGAGTTCAATAAGTTACAAGTTTAATTGTAAGAAAAACGTACCGTAACAGTTCATGTATGTACCTGATGACTCAGCTGCGCGAACCTCCTCTGTTGCGATTTGCGCGCTCTTCTCAGCTCTTCTCACTGACAGAATACTTCCAGCAGCTTCCGCTGGTCTGCTTGAAGTGTCATTGATGATCCTTGGTCTTTGCGACCGTGGTTTTATACAGCATGGAGAAGAGCTTGGAGCCGTCGCAACTCCAACCCACATCTGAAGAGCCCGTTAAGTCAATCGAGGACGATGGGAAGGGCGATAGCGCTGCGACGGCCGAGGGTGTTACCGACGAACAATGGAGGTCAATGATGGATGTTGTCATGGCCATCTACGAGTTCAGAGAAGAAGAGTAAGTTTTGGGGATTTCCTTCGAATTATTCACTAGTCACATTGTGAAGCTCACTATTCCCGCCTTCAACCCCCAGTGGCCATGATCCGTCCAAACTTTTCCAACGCAGCGTTAACAAGCGCAATGTCCCGGACTATTACGATATTATTAAAGAGCCAATGGCTCTCAGCATTCTAAAGCAAAAGATCAACAAGAGAGAATATACGAAATTCTCTTTGTTTGTGCGAGACTGTGCTCTGGTAAATCGACGGCCGTCCTTCTCTTCGGAGCAATTGCTTCCGCGGTGTACTAGAGCTTGTCAATGCTAACATGTTACCTCTATGCCTAGATTCCTCATAATGCGCAAACATACAACCGTCCCAAGTCTCAAGCGTATGAAGACGCGCTCGTGATTAAGGTCTGCAGAAAACCCTCTATGCCCTCGCTGTAGTTTGCACTCTTTTATTAATGTTGGTCTGTAGGATGTATTTGTCGCCGAATTCCGGAAACTAGTAGATCAGGGAATAATTCCCCCAGAAGTTGCTGAACTTCCCGACCTCGGCGAGATCCCCGAAGCAGATCCTCTTCCGGAAGAGGAGGACGAGGACGAGGAAGACGACGAGGACGACGAGGACGAAGAGGACTCGGACGATGATGGCCGGCGGAAGAAGAAACGAGGCCCTCGTCCTGGAAGCAAACGAGACGGTGGAAAGGATGACGGCCACAAGTCTAACGATCCTGAGCTAAGAAAAAAACGAGGACGACCGCCGCGTGTGGACACACCGATGGAGGCTAGGATCAAAGCTGTCTTGAAGGGGATTCGAAAACTGAAAGGGCCAAGCGGCGCACTCAAAGTTCGGCATTTTGAGCGTTTGCCAGATAAGGCTACATATCCTGACTATTATGTGGAGATCAAAGAGCCAATCGCTATTGACATCATTAAACGAAAGTCTAAGCGGAAGAAGTATAACTCCGTCGATCACTTCATGAGGGATATGGACTTGATGTTCAACAACGCCAAAGTATACAACCAGCCTGAGAGTCAGATTTATAAAGATGCTGTGGACTTGCAAGTGGAATCACGGAAGCTCGCTGAAATTGAGAAAAAGAAACCAGACAGTGAGTACTTGATGGAGGATGGGCGTCTGCCATTACCGGATGGAATTCTTTACAAAGGCGAGCTATGGAAGGTCGGTGATTGGGTCCATATACAAAACCCTAATGATGTAACCAAACCCATCGTGGCCCAGATCTACCGCACCTGGCAGGATTCCGAGGGCGATAAATGGGTCAATGCCTGTTGGTATTACCGTCCCGAGCAAACCGTCCACCATTTTGAGAAGCACTTCTATCCAAACGAGGTGGTCAAGACTGGCCAGTACCGAGATCATCGGATCGAAGAAGTGGTAGATCGCTGTTTTGTCATGTTTTTCACTCGCTACAATCGTGGACGACCCAGGGGCCTCCCTCCTGATAAGGACGTATATGTCTGTGAAGCTCGGTATAACGAGGAGAAGCACAAACTGAACAAGATTAAGACTTGGGCGAGCTGCCTCCCGGATGAGGTGAGGGAGAAGGATTATGAAATGGACCTATTCGACGTTCCTCGGCGGATAAAGAAGGTTTCAAGTCCTATCAAGCACCTGTTGAAGAGCGACGCAAAAGAGACAGATGATCTTCCAAAACCAACATGGGGAGCCGAGAACGCACCGCCAATTGTTGGCGCTGTTCATCGTCGTCCGCGAGATGAGAATGTGAGTCTTTGCTGTCCTGTAATGTCAACTTCATGTGCCCCTGTGACATTATTATTGTAGCTAACAGATCATATCCTCCCTAGGAGTCCCCACCACCTGAACCCACGCCTTCGCCACCCCCGTCTTTGCCTCCACAAAATCTGCCTTCTGCTCCTGCTCGGCAGGCTTCGATCAGTCAAACTCCACAGCGGCCTAGTGTGGATAGTCAAGCCAACACTACTGTAGCCGGAACCACTCCTGCACCACCCCGCTCGCCAGCTGCACCAATCCCTCCTGTTCAGAACGTGCCCGTACCAGTTCCTCCAACGACTTATCAGCAACCTCAGTTGCCCCCTAGCCAAACATATCAGCCCGCCATCCAGAGACGCTCCAGTGGTTTTTTGCAACAGACTCCACAACCTTCCTACCAGACATCGGCTGTCTCTCATCCGTACGCAGCTGTTCAGCCAGCACCATATACTCCCTATCAGGCGAACCGCATACAAGTTCCACCGGGGACAGTGTACAACCCCAATGCCCCTCGTCCGATCGAAGTGTTCCATTTGAGCGATGCTGCTAATGCTACTATCCCGGAAGATATCCGAGAACAGTTCCATTGTGACAATCAAGGCCACGTGCTATTTTTCTCTTCGCCACCTCTGGAAATCATACCTCCTCTCCAACAGAGGCTAGGCCACTCGCTCAAATATCTAGCAGTTAAAGAGGAGCGCCGGAAACTAGTCGAGGCGAAGAAGCGCAAGGAGGTGGAAGAGCAAGCCGTGCAAGACCAGAGAGTAAAGCGTCAGCGGGCTGACGAGGAAGCGTCGCTTGCTGTTAGAATCGAGTCTCTGACTATGAAGGCCATTGGCACCATGATAGATCACATTGGAACTGGCACAGAGATGATCTATCAGATGATCTATCATGACCAAGCAGAAAAGGCCAGACAAGAAAATTCCAGTGCCCTTGAGCAGAAAGTCCTTACCGACCGTATTGATAAGGAGAAGACCAGGCAAATTCAGGCGCAGTCGAGGAGTGCGACATTTGTCCCCCTCAAAGAAAATATCATGTGCATGGACGATATTTGACCCTTTGTTTTACTTAACAGGGAGAGGAATGAATACAAGTTGTCAACCCAATCTATCAGTTGCTGTTTTCGCTTAATTACCCAACATAATGCAAGCCTTTGTTGATTTAAACCTCTTTTTCTTTTTCTTCCTTTTCTTTGCGCGGGACATGGCTTATTGCGTAGGTAGCCGATTCAGTATCCACCTTCATGCACGTAGCATGATTGATAGCCTGGCGATTGATTGAAGCTTCGCCATTACCTTGGAAGTTTTCTGAGCATACAGTTCGACATAGATATCTTTATCAAACATTTCTAATTATGCACTGTATACACAAATCTCTGTAGGTGATATTGTGAATATCTTCAAAGGCATAAATACTGTGAAATACATACACACTTCCTTTGACAACCATGATCACAGTTAAGAAGGCAAGAAAGAAACACATCATTGACTCGTAAGATTGAGTGGTTACATGAGTTGAGGGACATTGCAAAGAAAAGATAATTGAAGGGCGCGGGAATAAAAAAAGAGAAAGGTAGAGTGTACATGCAATTAGCAATCAGAGAGAGAACATTCCCTCTCTTCCCGCTTGGTTCTCTGCCTTCAAATGCCATGTTGTGAAATATATGAAATGCGGGAAGGATCGGAAGATATAAAGAACAAAATAAACATGAGAAGAATTATTGGCAGAATATTGAGCCTTTCCAATTCTCTGAAACTCCGACCACACCCTTGAATTATCCCAAACCTGGTCTAAGCCAAAAATATGCAAGACGAAAGAAGGCTGTACAGAGATACTCGAAGATCGCTTGTTTTAGTCGTTCTATGCGAAATGCCTACCAAATGTGGCTGAAGCCAGGCATTGCATATGTTCTTCAGTAAAACCCCATGAACGAAGTCATGGGCTGGTGCCAAATTATAAAAACCGGTTTCCTCATGTTTCCCCTGATGCAGCGTGGCTTTTGTTTACCCCGATGAAAGATTATGACTTCTAATGAATTGGTGTCGGAATGGATGACTATCAAATCCTGGTTTTGCGCTTTCGGAAAGGATGTCAGGGCTGGAAGCCTGAGCTACTCGTTGGTGTAGAATCGTCGTCGTGAGACTCGGTTTTACTGGTACTCCAAGACTCGCTATTCCGTTTGTTGTTCTCTTCTTCTTCCATGGAGAAAACCAAGTCGCCTTGCTCCTCATCAATCCTGCTAGTACTGACGGGCGACGAGACAGTACGGTCGAGGCGGCCACTACCTCCCACTGATGAAGAATGGCGGGCAGCGCAGGGTGAAGTGACATACCGCTAAGTTGTTGTGATATCATGGACGCTGACTGTTGCCGAGAAGGAGTAGAGACAAAGGGCGAGACGTCACCCGATGTTTGCCGGCTTCCGATGGGTCCAAGGCTGGGACTTGCGCCGAAGTTCAACGAAGACTCACGGAGAGGAGATCCGACTTGTGGTAATGAGGTGCCATGTGCATCCTCCTCCTTCTTCTGTCGCTGTTTCGCAAAAAGGGCACCAAATCTGGAAGGGCTGGACGCCAGAGGCGAGCCGACTTTTGAAAGGCTAGTACCAGTCATACCAAGCCCGCTGAGATCACGATGACTTGAGCTAGGTTCATAGTCTGTGCGTGAAAGGCGTCGTAGTCGCTCCTGCGGTGTCAGCACATCATCGTGCAAATTGATAGGCAGGTAGTCCTCCTCCATCGGGAAATTGCTGTCATCCCAATCATCCAAGGCGGTAAGCCGCGGAACACTCGCAGAGAGCATTCGTGGCTTCACCGACCGCTGTGAGTGTAAAAAGCGAGGTCCTGGGCCATCCTCAGGAATTCCAGGAGGGGAAGAACCTATGAAAGAAGGGGGCTTCCTTAAATCTGACCCATATGCGGTATCGCGGAGACTCCGGAGCGCATCGGAGGGGCCGCCGATTCTTTGGGCCGGCGGGGATAGTTCCAGCCCGAATTTCGATGGCATAGAAGCGGCTACCGGTCCATAACGAGCAGCGTGTGATATCCCTTGGCTATCAAAGGAGGCAGGGAGGGGTGCATCAAGTGCGGTTAAATGGCGGTGATTTGGAGACATGGGAAATCGCATGTCATCAATCGGAGAACCATACTTAGAGCCGGCGTCTGAGGCCAAACCCGCATCGATGGTGGGAATGGCGTCATATGGTTGTTGGGGAGAGTGTATGGCAGCGTACTCCTCTTGAGGGTGAACTTGAGGGCCATATCGGGGCTCTTGACCGTTCATTCTCTGTTGCGAAAGGACGGAATTCGTCAAAGCTGAATCTTGATTCACATACGCTTGGGGATTAACTCGGCCACCCAAGTTGAGGTGACTACCGCCCATTCCTACGCCTGGGTTGGGTCGATTAACCCGTCGGCCATCAGGGAGAATATGCGCCAGCGCACACTTGGCTCCAAACTTGCAGTTACCCTAGGACCATGGCACACGTAATCAGCCACATATATTCCGCAGTAAAGGGGAAGAGCAACCCCAGGCATGAAAAAGCCGAAGTGTCTTCTGGAGGATCCATACCTTCGTGAAGTATTTACACGGCGCATAGTCAATCGCAGCATCGGTAGAATGTAGGAAAGGGCAGGCGGGTCCCGCCTGACAAGCTCCTTGACGAAAGAATTTGCAGGGGACATGTTTAGTATCTGTTGTCCGTCATATGTAAGTCAGGGTTGGCTTTGCTTCGCAGGTGATAAGGTCCACACGAGGAGTATCGTTGGCCTTCTTTATAGCTCAATGGGTGCTGGGCAGAGTCTTACTGCTTTGGTTGTTGGGAGGGCTACGGGCAGCCATGTCAAGGCCTGAGAGATTGCGAGAATGGCCGTTCTGGATAGTCCCTGAGGGGACCGGAAGTGGAGCACGATTTTTCATGTCGCCTGAGAGGCGATTATGGGGACGGGGTGTGTGGGAAGGTGAAGGTTGAGGAGGAGGAGTATTGCGAGAGGCTGACACTTGCATGGCCGAGAGAAAGAGAAGGCGGACTACAAAATCCGGAGGGGTTTAGTACTATCGGGCGGGGTGGAGATAATAACGGTACTAAGAAACGTAGTAAAATGAGAAAGGTGCTTTCTGAGGGCGGTCAACATTGATAACAGCAGAACAATAAGTGAATAGGAGAGGAAAAGAAGGTGGGTGGGAGGGAAATAAAAGAAGGGAAGAGAAAAAAAAAGAACGGAGAGAGAGAGAGAGAGAGAAAAGGTACTGACATGGAAAAGGTAGATTAATATTGAACATTGGTTAAGTTGAGATTCGCAACTTTCATACAGTTAGCTCATCGACACCTTGACTCCGAGGCAATCAACCCCGAGCATGGACAACGAATTGCCGAAAGTGCTTGCACCTAGCAATTAGAGTGAATGTAAAAAATAAAATAAAAATAAAATAAAAATTTAAGAAGATTTAAATGGAAAAAAAGTAAATAAGTAGAAGAAAAGAAATCTCTGCATAGTTTCTCCTGACTAAAGAAATTATAAAAGACAGCCACCTCGACAAGAACGTATTCCTCATGGGAATGCTCTTACAGCCAACGGTACGAATTTCTTACCCTCATTGCACGCTACAATAATAGTTTCTTTTCTCGATAAGAGTGAGGCGCATGACACTACTAGTATCAGAAGCACAGATGATATACGAAAACCCAATAGGGTTGTTGTCAGAACTGTGGGAAAATATACTATCGCAGATCGCACGCGAGGGCTCTGGCATGTATAGGATGGTCCTCATATTTCGATCTCTATACATCTGACAATGCTTGGGTGGAACATAGCTTTCCTCGAACCGTGTCCCAACTTGAACCCAATTGCTCCTCCATCATTTCATCAAATCATCCAAGGCTTGCAGGCGGAGAAACCCGTCGATCACCATCTGCCCACCTCTATGCGGACGCTCGGTACATAGATGTACTATAAATATTCACCTTAGCGATATAAATCTGTATGAGATGGTACGTAAGCACCGCACACTGGAAAGGAAACTGACGAGAGCTGGCGAAGGGCCCTCAACATTTTAGCTTGCCCCTTCATCTACGTATACAAATGTTGCAATCAAGTGAGGATAGAAGGCCCTTCTAGCCCTAGGAATTCCTGTTCGCTACTGTGAGCAGTCTCAGCAAAGGCGATTAACCAGATATTCATACCCAGAGCTCTTCTCGAGTCACATCTTTATCCACCATCTCTAGACATCTTCTCCACAAATCGCGACATATCTGCCTCCGCGCATTAACACGCTTCTGCCAGCATTCCATTGCTCTTTTGGTGACAGTTCTGTCTTCCTCATCCCCCTGTCCCACGCTGGTGCCCCGAGCTTGAGTTAGAATTGCGAGGGTAGTCTCCCTTTCCACCTCAAGTTGGCTGATGCTCTCTTGGAGGTCAAAAGCCAAGGGTATCGCACGTAGAGCTGTGAGCTCAGCTCGCGCCCTTTTTGCACAGCCTCTGAGGTCAGCAAGCTGTTCCTGCAGCTGGCGAATGTGATCATTCAGAGCCACCACTCCCTCCAATGTGTTTTCATCGGTCCCCTTCTGTAGAGCATGATAAACTGCCTGTCTCCCTAAATTTGAAGTTAGTGCCAGTACTCCATGATGTCCACTCACCATCCACCACCCTAACGTGACACATGCATATCGGATTCACTAACCGGACGCTCTTCCTTCGATTTGCCGATTCAGATGTAGCTCTCGCAAGACCTTTGCTGCATATGCTTCGGAGTGCGCTTTATTAAGGACTCTACTGAGGCCCGGGCTTGGTATGGGGGTTGCTCACTTTTGGTGACTTTGTTGTGCAAATTCACTGAGACATATGTGGCCTATATGTCATTAGCCGCCAGGCACTTGCTGATAGGTCCTCCCGAAACCACGTACCGAATAGGGACGACTGCTCTTCTGGGTTAGCTAAAGACTATCAAAGAAAAGAAGGGGAGACGTGAATATCGTGTTCAGGTGCTCGATTGGACCCTTACTTCTGGTAACCTAGAGTTGCGGGAGTAATGGATCAGTCTATCATGTTTCTGAGAAGGCCGGGCTATAGAGGGGAAGACTGGGGGGAACATATTGGCTTACGGAGATAGTTTAGAACCAAAGTAAGCCCATCGTCAACAGCTGTATGGGGTCAGAGTTCCTCCTGCGAACCTAGAACCTGAGTGACAAACTCACTGCCGTTGTTCGTCTCCTCACTTTGCCCCTTCTGTTTCATGCTGGTAATGGGAACAAAATCGAGGAGGATCTCCCAAGTAAACAAGTCGAAGACGGGGAGGGAATTATGATGATCATGCTAACACGCAGTTGCCACTACTCTGCGATACAAACTCACGATCATCACGTGGACTATTCGACGAAAGTGGGGAACACTCATATTTATGAAATATCTAGGTAAGATGGCCTGGAACTCACAAGGCTAGGCAAAAAAGAAATTCCTTGACAAGAACAGTCCACTGTCAGCAGCTAAATTATCCCAAATATGTTAACCAAAGGATTGGAAACCGACCGCCAACTCGAATGCAAGATCAAAATAGAAGGGTAAGAGACTCAGTACAATTAAGAAGGCCTTAGTCAAAGAAGGGGGGATTCAGCTTGCCAGCCACATATTGCGCTTGCTTTATCTCGAATTTCTTTTCACTATCAAAATGCACAATGATGAACTGAATCCTCTACCATCCCTGTCCGTACGCAACTTTCCGGATAAGAAACAAGTGAACTATGGTGGTGTAGAGTCTACGACGACTCATGGGTATCACATGACGATCTATGATGGAGTCAGTTTTCGTAACATAATAAATAGCTAACGGAAAGGATGAAAAGCATACGCAATCATTGTCCTTTTGTGCAGTCGGAACTCCCATCTCCTCAAATGTTTTTGGGCCTTTGCCTGGTAGGCCACCTTGAGACTTGGCTGGCTGTGCTGCAGGCTTCTGGCCGACCGAGGCTGACACAGATGATGGTTTTGGTGTTGCCGAGGATGCTACAGGTGCACTTGGAGGCGGCATGGATTCACTGCGCTGGGGAAACGTTGCAGAAGATGGTGAGGCCACTGGCTTCGGGGAGCCTACTGGGCCGCCTTGAGCAGAAACAGGCGTCCTCACGGGCCGTCTATCAGGCGGTGTGCTGTCAAGGCGTTGTGGGCGTCTTGAGTTTGGAGAATCAATCGGTGCAGAGTAGCCAATATCTAGCTTAGGTGTTGCTGACGTGGGGCTTGCTGGACCGCTGGTGGTGGGTGTCACAGGGGCAGGAGAGCGATACCCCATTGGCCCAGGCCCATAAGATGCCGCACGGTTATAGTTGGGAGCGCTGGTGCGAATGTTAGGGTTGATGCCAAATGCTGAGCTTGGCCGTGGGTCAGGCACCGAGTAGCCTGGCGGGTACACTGGCCGAGCCCTGGAGGGTGGCCGGTCGGGGTACGGAGCACTTGGCGGGGGGTTATCTGAAAGACTCATCCGTGAAGGATCAGGCATTTCAAGATTCTCTGAAGCTGATTGCATGGACTCGTTCCGCTGGTGAGAGCCGTAGCGTGACTTGATCCGAGCGATGGCAACCTGCTCATGATCCCGTCGGGACAACGTTTTCGAACGTGAGATACTGTCGATTCGACTGGTAGCGTCTTTGTTTCCGTTTGCCGCAGCCTTGGCATACCAGCTTCTGGCTTCCTTGATATCAACCTGAACGAAGATACCGACTTCATAGAAGTATCCCAGGGCAAATTCCGCAGTTGGGAAGCCGCTCTGAGCTGCACGCTGAGCGTATGTGAACGCCAACTCGTCGTTCTTCTCGAAGACACCCTCATGTCCACAAAGGAACCATTTACTGATGGCCATTTCCGCTTCTGGCTCTCCTTGTCGGGAGGCCAATGCGTTGTAATGCAAGGATAACGCCGGGTTAAAGTCGCAACCTAGTTGACACAGTTCATATGCGGCACCCATCTTGACTTGGGCCTTAGCAAATCCGTGGTATGCAGCTTTCTCGATATTTACGCGAGCGGCATTGACATCAAGGGGGAGGTAATTCTCTGGGACGCTCACTTGGGGCAGCTCCCGTGCCAGAAGCATGCCATAAACCTGCAAGATACTAAGTCAGATTGAATGGCATGTAAGTATATTCCAAGGAACTACACACATAGGCACCCTGAGGCGCATTCTCGTCGCAGGATTGCGCAGCTAGCTGGATATAATCAAGGCCCGTTTGATAATCTTGACGCTGTCCGTGCTGGCCCAGCAAGATCATCATCCCCAGACGCTATAACCTCAAGCAGTTAGCGCGAGCTGTTAGAATTAACGATGAGGATGTAGCATACGTAAAAAGAAGCAGAATCGGCAAGAGCAACACCTTTCTCGTAATGCCGGATGGCTTTTTCGGGTTCACCAGAACTCTCGAACTGCATCCCCATGCGATACTCAGCCCTGGCATAGCCTTTCTCCGCAGCTCTTGAATAAGCTCTGAATGCTTCCTTTTTATCAACGCGATATCCGAATTTTCCGAATTCCAACCACATTCCCTTGATGAACTCAGCTTTGGGATGGTGCTGATCGGCCAAGAAATTGACGATGTTCATCGCATCAACCTTCAACTGATGCTCACTTGCGGGGTCTGGGGACGCGGGGGTTGGATTAAGGATAGACGAGCTTCATTCTGGACGGCGACTTCGACGTAAGCTAGGGCGTCCTGGGCCCAAGCCAATTGCATTTCGGGGTCATTGGAGGAGAGTACTGCCATCCGAGCCTTCTCCAAGCTGGCTTCTCTCTGCTCATCGGTGGGGGGCACATTTGGAGGGGGGTTGCGTAGGACAGGGAACGGCGAAAAATTAGGCGATTCCATGGTATCGTAAACGGCGGATTGCTCGTAGTGGGCAGCGTCCTCGTAGCCGGCAGTAATGGGCTGTCCCTGGACTACAGCGGCAGAAGAAGTTCTCTCGGGAAAATGGGACCGATCATATTGTACAGGAGCATATTGGCTCCGATGAGGGTTTCGAGCCTCATGCTCGAGGTGGGCAATATTGTCCTGCATAGTCTCCGGAACTTCAGGCATGACTCTGCTGGTGAGATAAAGTGTGTCCAGATTAGCAACACACCCATCCGCTGTAGGGAGGTCAAAAAAATAAAAAAAAAAAAGAGGGCAAAAGAAAAAGAAAGGGTAGAACAATAAAGATGCTAAAAAGCTGGCGTTGTAGAAGATTTCCTGTTTCGGTTTATGTCTTTCTTTCCTTTTTCTTCTCCAAAACAACAACTAGATGGGGCTGGCTCACCTTTGGGGAGAAGGGGATATAACTTCTGGCATGTAAAAGTCATCCTGGCCCCCTGGATACCATGTAGCTCCCAGCCTTGGCTGACCGCGACCTTGCGGTGGTCTATTCATTGTCGGCGTCTTTTCTTCTCTTCCTCTTTAGTAATCTAATTATTCCCTTCTTTTCTTTGGGAGGTTTTTTTTTTCCTCCACCCCCCAGAGAAAGACAAATAATTTAGAAAAGAATTATCCGGACTATTGGGCGTTTCTTTTTCGTTCTTGTCCTTGGTTTGCCTTGCCAATTGTTTTGGGTTTGAGAGTCAGACTAGAGCTAATAATACGATTAGGCTCTCCAGGCACAACGGTTCTTCGGTACGTAATCAAAAAGAGAATAAAAAGAAAATAAAGAGGGCCAACTGTGGGGGAAGTTTGATTGCCGAAGGGCCCAAGCAAGAGAGAGAGACTTTGTTGGATATACAGAACGCGTTGAAAGAACCACAAGGGACCTACTCATTATCTAGCGAAAGTACCAGGAAATCCACTGGTGACAAGTATTTACCCAGTGAGAGCTGTCAGACAAAAGATCGAAAATTAAATGGAGGGGGGAAGAGATGGATGAGTGTTGAATCAAAGACGTATTGTACGTATCTTAGTATGGGTTGAGTGGGGTAAGAAGAATTGATAATTAATTACGGAGTACTATATACGGAGTACTCCGTATTATATTTTTACTTTCGTTATCCTTCCCCTCGGCAACTGCACCAAATATTAGCGTTTACTCCGTACGGAGTACAGACAGTAGCTTTCAAATAACAGATACTCTGTTAGGCGGTAAACAACTCATTAATTCATTTTTGTAGTAGAAAAATGCTTTTAGTCGCGAGACATGGAAGATCTATCAAGGGAAAATAAAATAAAATAAGATAAAATCTGTTAATAGAGAGAAATGCCCGCGTACCTGGTACTCGTACCTACGTATAGTACGGAGTACATACAAACCTGCTCTCGAAGAGTAAGCAAGAAACTAAAAAGAACTGGACCTGGCACCGCTGCTCGACACTTGACCAGTATAAAATCAAGATAGAGATAGGTATAACATGGGCAACTTCTCTGTGACCCCGTTTTTGATTAATTAATCGCTTTTCGAAACTGCTACTCCGTACAGAGTATGGAGTATTCAAGAGAAAGATCTGTGTTTTATCTCAAAAGAAAACTTGGCACTTCTTGGCATATGATTGCCTGAGGAGTCATACTCCGAGTATTCGTTGCTTTCTTTCTAGAAGCAACTTCGGAGACCACAATAACAGTTCTTCTGCTCTTTTCAGCCTCCACCAAAAAGATGGTCTTCCTTGTGGGCCTTTAAGTTCCAATAATGTTTATGAACTTGTGTTATCATGGACAGGTACAGTAGTACGGAGAAGGAGGTATTAATCGTACCGCCCCATTTTTCACCTCTTTTGATTGGGCCTTCTAGTGCTTCCATAACCACATCATGGATCTCACCCCCTTTTGCTTTTTTCTCTTTCTCCTTTTCGTTCCCCGTTGCCCCTGCTCCTTTTCTCCTTTTCGGCTAGTCGATAGGCGTATCGTACAATGGACCCATACTGACCTTGAGCCTCTGATCTCCTGCGCAGTACTAATACCTGTTGAATGTGACCGCTATCTCCTGCAGGAATCATGGAACTCCAGGCAGAAGAGTTCCACCACCCTTATTCGCCATATGACATTCAGCTTCAGTTCATGCGGGCATTGTACTCTTGCATCGAAAAGGGTAAAGTGGCCGTCTTTGAATCTCCCACAGGTAAGTTGGCTTTCACTTTGAATTGAGTTCCTTCTGACGCCCCTGGTGATAGGCACTGTGAGTTAAACTTTGGACCAGTTGTTGATTCTACTTGCATTCTTGCTGGATATCTGCCGTTGTAGAAGTAACTAAATGTAGATTAGCGGAAGCCCTAAATATCATACTGACAATAAGCACTTGTTCAATTACTGAGACTTTTCTGCATTAGGGAAAATCTTTGAGCATAATATGCGGCTCATTAACTTGGCTACGAGACCATAAACGCACGGGTTTTCAGGAAACTGTCAACAACAATACCTGTTAGACTATCATTTGGGAACTACAGGAATTTGGTCTAATACGTAATCTCGCAGGTGATGACGGTGAACCGGAATGGATGCTGGAGTATGCAAGACGGGAATCCAGTCGTGCTATTTCTGAGAAGAGGAAAGAACTTCAGATACGATTGGCAAAAGCAAGACATAGAGAGGAGAAGCAGAAAGCTACTTTGGAGAACTCGAGTGGACCACGCAAACGACAGGTATGGTACCTACCAGTTTCGTGAGTAGGCAGTTTCCTTGCTGAGACGCCGGTTCAGAAGTTCGATATATCTTCCAGAGCTTCCGATGTGCAGACCGAGGATGGTTTCGCATTGGATGAATACGACAGTGAGAGCGAAGAGAAGCGTTCCTCACAGAAACGGACGGATTATTCGAGTGGCCTTTCCACCGGCACGCTAGAGTTATTGGAGCGTTTCCAACACAAATCCTCAGCACATCCCAGACAAGACGAAGATTATGGGGATGAAGATATCAAGATATTTTACTGCTCGAGGACACATTCCCAATTAACACAGTTTGCAAGCGAATTACGAAGAGTCAATGTACCTTCGAGCATACCGAAGGACCTTAGTGAAGGACTGGCGGACATAGATGAACTCCAGGAAGGTGTAAGGTACTTATCCCTTGGGTCTCGAAAAAATTTGTGCATAAACCCTCGAGTGTCTTCCCTGAATAATGTAACAGCAATCAGTGAACGCTGCTTAGACATGCAGCAGCCAGGTGTTGCTGCAGAACACAAATGTCCGTTTCTACCGTCAAATGAGAATGAGGCACAGGTTTTACAGTTTCGGGATCACGTACTGGCCACAGTTAAGGATATTGAGGACATAGGGAAATTGGGGAAGAACATTGGAATATGCCCCTACTACGCGTCCCGCTCGGTCACTAAGCATAGTGAGGTGGGTTGCTCACAGAGCCTGTTTGCTGGACACCCGTTGCTAATACTCGAAAGATCGTGACACTTCCGTATCCCTTGTTGCTTCAGCGGTCAGCTAGAGACGCTCTTGATCTATCCATAAAGGGCCATGTCGTTGTTATTGACGAGGCTCATAATTTGATGGATGCTATATCCAACATCCATTCGGTAACAATCACACTGTCGGAGCTGCAAACCTCTCTATTCCAGTTGACAACATACGCACGAAAGTTTAAAACTCGACTAAAAGGAAAAAACCGAAACTATATCGCACAGGTTATCCGACTTGTCACTTCGATCACTGACCACCTCAAAACAATCCTCGAAAGAAATCAAGCTTCCGAAGGTCCTGTCCAGCCATCAGACCTCATGTCTGGGAAAGGTGTCGACCAGATCAACCCTTACAAGCTATGTCGCTATTTGCGTGAGAGTAAGCTAGCGAGGAAGGTGGATGGGTATGCCGAATTCTCTCGAGAGCAAGCAGACCGCGAAGCAGACAGAAAGCCTTCAACGCCGGTCTTATTTCATATCCAGAGCTTTCTCCTACCCTTGATGAACCTTTCAGCAGAAGGGAAATTGTTCTATACGAAGGCTCAAGGTGATATTCAGTTGAAATATATGCTCCTCGACCCGATGAATCAATTTCGCGAAATTGTTGATGATGCAAGGGCTGTTATATTAGCTGGCGGAACTATGTCACCTGTATGTTAGTTTTCAACTAACAGGCCCTTTGCTCATTAGTTGACAAAGCATACAGATGACGGACTACATAAACCATTTGTTCCCATACGTGCCATCTAGTCGCCTAGACACCTTCAGTTATGGTCATGTCATTCCTCCAGAGAATTTGATCGCACAAGTTCTAGGTAGAGGGATTACAGGTACAGACTTCGACTTTACCTTTGATACACGGGATTCAGAACGGATGGTATGGATTCTGAGTTGGGGTGATCCTTATATTTCCATGATCTAACCCATGCGTGTGCACAGATAGTTGACCTGGGACGGACCATAGCTGCTCTATGCCAGGTTATTCCAGATGGCGTCGTTGCCTTTTTCCCAAGTTATGACTATCTCGGTCGAGTTTTGAGTATATGGAAAAGACCCCTTGCAGGAGAGATCAATCGTACTGTCTGTGACTTGATTGAGCGGAAAAAGACTATTCTGCATGAGTCACGAGATATGACTATGAGCATTGAGGAGCTCTTGCAAGAATATGCAAGTGTTGTCGGATCAGGACGAGGGGCACTGCTTCTTTCAGTTGTCGGTGGGAAGCTGTCAGAGGGTATCAACTTTTCTGACAGATTGGGGAGAGGTGTGCTTATTGTTGGCTTACCATTTCCAAATATACGTAGTGCAGTTTGGCAAGCAAAGATCCAGTATGTTGAGCAAAAAGCCTACAAGGAGAGCTCGGGCTCCGAGGCAAGCCGGCAGCTGATCGCAAAAACTGCGGGAAAGGATTTCTATGAGAACTCCTGCATGCGGGCAGTCAATCAGTGCATCGGGAGAGCTATTAGACATCGTAATGATTACGCTGCTATCGTTTTGATGGACAGACGTTATGATAAACCCGCTATACAGGGGAAACTGCCCGCTTGGATCAAACAGAGCATGGCGAGCAGTCCCGCTCTGCGACCAGTTGGAGCAGCAGTAGGTAGTCTATCGAAGTTCTTTATGGCACAACGGACCAGCCAAATATAGTGAATATTACTTTATACTGTCTTTATACGAAAATCTCTTCCTTAGTAATTATTGGCCTCCAACCCTTTCCAGCACTGGATACAGAGTGACGTAAATCACGTGGTAAGTGCCAAGACGGGCAGGGTTGACCCTACTTAGGGCAAGCGAAGTTAGCGCACAATCTAGAGCCGCCGCCTCCAGGCCTTGATTTCAACATCTGAGCGACCAGCACACACGATCGCATCCCCAATCGCCAAACACTCAGACCGGTCTTGTCGAGTACACCACCGTCGACAAGATGCCTACCCGTTTCTCGAAGACAAGGAAATCGTGAGTCGAAAAGCTCTTTCTTTTATCGCCTAGGGTGGTCGAACGTTCTTGTTTGTCGTGGTGAAATGCGACAAACTAATACCCCATCCGACTCCTATATCGAAACCTTGAAAGATTGGGACAAGACGAAGCTGACTTGTATCTCTTTCTTCCTATAGCCGCGGTCATGTGTCCGCCGGTTACGGTCGTATCGGCAAGCACCGTAAGCACCCCGGTGGTCGTGGTATGGCCGGTGGTCAGCACCACCACCGTACCAACCTCGACAAGTACCATCCCGGTTACTTCGGTAAGGTTGGTATGAGGTACTTCCACAAGACCAACCAGCAGTTCTGGAAGCCCGTGATCAACCTCGACAAGGTACGTGAAGTTACGAATATTGCCGTAGACAACGATGGACGGAGCAAAAAGGAGGATCGGCTTGATGAAATGGATTGTGTGGCATGAATAACAAATGATGCTCGAAAACATGAATCAACTGGCAAGAAAGAAGGAAGCAAGAAATTTGCCATGGTTGTGATGAACATGTAACTGATTGGTGAACTTTTGGTTTAGCTGTGGTCCCTCGTTCCCGCTGAGCAGCGTGATGCCTACGTGAGCGGCCAGAAGACCGACACTGCTCCCGTTATCGACCTCCTTCCTCTTGGCTACTCTAAGGTTCTCGGCAAAGGCCGCATCCCCGAGATCCCCATCGTCGTTCGCGCCAGGTACTTCAGCCGGGATGCTGAGCGGAAGATCAAGGAGGCTGGTGGTGTCGTTGAGTTGGTTGCTTAAATGTGGATTACGGTGCTACCTAAAGAAGGTCAAGGTGCTGCGCTGGCTGTGGTCGGCGTAATTGAGGCTCGGTTTCTCTCGAAGGGAATAAGGACTCGAACATGGGAGCCGCGGATCGGGCACAGGGATCCGTGTATTTACAAAACCAAGGGTTTTCGTTTGTGATGAGCATAGCATAGCCTCCGGACACCCTTACGATCTCACTGTCTCACAAAATACCATAAAGGAGGATTTCTTTTCGCTTTTTTTTAAACCTAAAGTTATCCCAGGCAATATGATCCTTGGCGAAGACGTAAGATAAAAGGTGGGAGCCTTGCCTCTTGAAGTTCAGAATGAACCCTTTGTGGTTGGCTGGGTAGTTGCTATAACGCGTCTACACCAGGTAGCGCCGCTTGGAATTACCCTTAATCTTTACACTTATTTACTATCATATCCACATACCGTCCCCATATGGAACAATACCCGTGGGCAAGACCGCTTCCTTCGAGGGGTATGGGCTCGGGCGCATGTTAGTACAGAGATGCTGGTAACAGATGGTATTGATCAGGATCACATTGTCTATGTGCACTCAACTCGCTCTATAATTCAGTTATATCTTGGATTCACGAACAAATCCAGACTTCATTGAACCCTCAGTGGCTGCGAGAGTATCACTAATGAACCGCACTGCTTCGTCAACCATCTTGGGCGTCACCTCATGCGCCGCGCTCTCGTCAATAACATCCTCTAGAGTCACCGCACCATTGGAAAACCAGCCGTTGGGGGCAACTGCTTGTTTCAGCCAAGTTAAGAAGGCCTCTCCTCGATGGTACGGAACCAATTTATCCACACCGCCAGAAAGATTCAGTATCCTTTTGCCTGCTAGGCAGCGGGCCAACAGCGGCTGTAGAGCCTGCTTCTCTTTCTCCGTCGGCTCCGGCAAGGTAGGGTTCCGCAGAGGCTCGACACTCTTCTGCGTGTCCAAATAGCTCAAGAACAGACTGGCCGGGTCATAATCACGGACGGCGTCTAGGAGAGACTCAGGAAATGCCTCCGAACCCAAGAACTGGGAGCCTGGCGGGTCACTGTTTGTCCATGCTGGGAGCTTCGACAGTCTCGCACGATCGGCCATGAGATTTACATAGTCGGGACAACCAATGATAACCACACCGGTAGTAACACGCGGTTCGTGTAGAATACAGCTCCACGCTGCATGTCCACCTAGGGAAACACCAAGTACGAGGTTTTCGGTGATCTTGTGCTCGGAGTGAGGAAACACGAAAGGTGGGAGATAATCGATCAAAAGGGAAACATCCCGTGCAGTGCCCTCTAAATTGCGGATGAATCAGATATGGGCACCTTCATTTGGGAAATGCGGAGCGCTCACGAAAGATGGAAAACATGTCCTGCGCATGACGAGGGTTGCCCTGTCTCCATGCCTCATTTCCAGTGGGATCAACCAGCCTCGTGCCATGATTTCGCTGGTCGAAAGCAACGGCGATTAGGCCTTTTATAGACTGGCTACTATTGGCATGGCGAGTCTTGATTCGGTTATTCCAGTCCGTGATGACTGCGGCAGCAATTCCCGCCATCCTTTCTTTAGTTGCTAGTCTGGGATGCAGCAGCCAAAGGCACGCAACCTCTGAAGCCTGGGTAGGTAACTCATTTAAGCCAAATACCGTAGTAAGTATTCCTGCAACTGGATATGTTTTTTGCGATACGGGAGACGGAATCGTGCGGGGTGCGGCATCTAAAGGTTTCAAAGGGTCTGCCATTTCTCTTTCTTTCTTTCCCTTCCTCTCTATTCCTGTACTTCCTTTCTATTTTTATGGTATGTTGAGGTGAATTGGGAAGGTAGAGGAATAACGCGCAATTGAGTCCCAAGGTCGAGGAGTAACAGTCCTTATATCCAAGAATCAAGTATACCTCGGTAGAAAACGGAGCACAGCCAGTGGCTGTTTCTCTTCACCAGCCACAATGTGTCCCGCTTGTTTATCCGGGCTGCAAACGTACGATTATCAAGTCAAAGTTTACCTCCTCTTAACCTTCTCTTACATAGTCAAAGCAACATCTAGTCTTCTGAAACCTCCCCGTTTATTTTACACAATATAAAGAGGAAACAAAAAAAGAAAAAGAAAAAGAAAAAGAAAACCTTTAGAGATGGTCAAAATTTGCTTATAACCAAAGATCCAACTGCTCCTTTTGGCATCCAGACTTTTACCCTTCCCAAGTTCCCACGCTAAAGCGGGCCCCTCTGTCTCCAAGTCGAATTGGGATAAATTATGGGTCAGACTCCACTGCGGCTCGGGACTACGTACTATTTGTGTTTTAACACCAACGCTCCTTTTGGGTTCTAACGCCCTAGCTTTTGACAGTTACCCCCTAGGCTTATTGTTCAAATATATCACGCCTTCGGACAGCGCTACAATGACTTCACTGTGAGGTTTCCATGGTTAGTTTTGACAGGATCATATTGATCCTTATGTAGGCCCATTGAACTCCCCCCGACCCCTCCCGTAGTGAACTAACATCGCTTTGTCCCTAGTACGCACCATGACCGAGTCTACGGTCCATCCCTCAGAATTGAGGGTTCCTGAAAACTCCTCTGATCGGCTCACCCCCGGAAAGCCAGAGCCACCTATTTTATCGAGTGGCCCAAAGCTGTCTTCACCTTTCCCTTCTCCAACTGGTACCCCTGGCACTGAGTATTCGCCTTCAGACAATCAGGAAAAGGCGGAGGCTGCTGTTGAAGAAGATCAACGGAGAGCGAATACTATCACGGATGAAACTGGAGGCAAACCACATATAGGGGAGGCCAGCGGCTCATGGGAAATATGGGATGGCTTTTCCGGAGTTAAACAAGCATCTTTGAACCCTCAACGACCGAACGAGTCGCTCGACAGCCAGCAGAAGGCCTTCAGCCAAAAATCACAGGCATCCCATCATGGGCTATCATCGCGGCGTCCAAGTGTTCAGTTTACCGGCGAAGCCACTGAGAACGATCCTCCTGTTGAATCTGCTCGATCAAGACCTTCTTCCATAACAGGGGACGATGTTGATGCTGATCTGAAGGGCAAGCAATCGATCTTCGGCAAGCTGAAGGCATTTGCAGTCTCCCCATCATTCGCCTCTCATTCCCGCTCGGCTAGTGCTGCAACCATCGGGGATGCTAGACATCCCAACCATGATCTCACCACCCCAGGCTCGGAAAGGGGGGAGTTCCGTTTCCCCAACACGCTAGAAGAGGAAGGGAGCGATATTGATGCTGATGCTGAAGAGAGTGCGGGGGAACAACAAGTCCGGCAGAAGCAGCAGCAGAGGAAGAAGAAGAAGCAGCTGCGTCGTCAACAAAGCGACTCTACACCCCAGACAGAACCGAACACACCGAAAGCCTCGGGCCGGCCCTCCTTTCACTTGCCTAGCTCATTTGGCCCCTTTGAAAACTATCGTACGAACTTCTTTCCACGACGAAATACTGGAGACTACGCGCAGCAACGTGAGGGGGTGTCAGAGGATGAGGGCCGGGATCGCCTTAATCGCGATAATGCTTGGCGGCGGAGAAGTGCCTGGCTTGCTAACACTCGCGCGCTTAATTACGGGGGACGGCAGATTGACTCGCAACCGAATCAGGATGAGAGACGCCCTAGCAATCTGAGGCGGTTTACTGGCATTACAGGGCCGTCGGAAAACGTCGAGAGTCTCGGGGCTCCCTGGAGGCGCCATCGAGCCGAACGTGGCTCTAGCCTCAGCGCTCAAAGATGGCGGCAAATTAAGGCCGGATTGAAGTTGATTGGACAGCGACGTAAGACCGACAACACCGTTGACCACGCGAAGTCGGCCGAACTGCTAGCCGAGCTGACCTCGGGGGTACCGGCCGCCCTAATTCTGGCTAGCATGTTTCAACGTGATGAGCATGGCAGCAAGCGCATTCCGATTCTTCTTGAGCAGCTCAAGGTTCGAGTAACGGATAGTAGGATCGATTCTCATTCTGGAGATCGCCACCTTGTCTTTAGGATCGAACTCGAATATGGAAGCGGCATGACCCGGATGAAGTGGATTATTCATCGAACGCTGAGAGATTTCGCAAATCTCCATTTAAAGTACAAATTACACTTTGGGACACAAAAATATATCCAACTGCGAAACACTGAAGGGGCACAGAATCTTCCACGTTTCCCTCGAAGCGCATTTCCTTACCTACGAGGTGTTCGAGGCTTAGAAAGCGATATGGAGGACGAAGAAGATGACGGTGGCTATGAAACCACAGCCGAGGCGACAAGTGGCAATGAGAGAGCTGGGAAGAGGCAGCAGTCACGGCGGCGATCGTCCGGTAATATATCCCGGCGACAGTCGACTGTAACGAACCCTGATACAGAAAATGCTGCTGGTGCCTCGGGCGCAGCAGACGCAGGACCGAGCAAAAAAGAGAGTTATCCGGAGAGACAAAGAAAAAAACTCGAATCTTATTTACAAAAGCTGATTCGGTTCCTTATCTTTAAACCTGATAGCAATCGTCTGTGTAAATTCCTGGAGTTGTCGGCCTTGGGTGTGCGCCTCGCTGCTGAAGGGAGCTATCATGGCAAAGAGGGGTATTTGATCATACAATCCTCGAAAGGTCTGGATTTCCGGAGGGCCTTGACTCCTGCCATGGTAAAGAGCCGTCATTCACCAAAGTGGTTCCTAGTCAGACATAGTTACGTCGTTTGCGTTGATTCTCCCGAGGCAATGAATATCTATGATGTTTTCTTGATAGATCCCTTCTTCAAGCTGCAAACTCAGAAGATCAGTATCCGAAACCAGAAAGCAAAGGAGCTGGCAAAGTCGGCAAAAGAGTCGGCAAGGCATCCGCAACATCACACCTTGAGACTGGAAAATTCAGAGCGGAAACTCAAGCTGTTGGCCAGGAACGAGCGCCAACTCCATCAGTTTGAAGATTCGATTCGGTTTATGGTCAACAATACCCCTTGGGCAAGGCCAAATAGATTTGAAAGTTTTGCTCCAGTGCGCCACAAGTGCTTCGCTCAGTGGCTAGTTGATGCTCGGGACCACATGTGGATGGTGTCACGGGCGATCAACCAGGCCAAAGATGTCATATACATCCATGACTGGTGGCTAAGTCCCGAGCTCTATATGCGGCGACCAGCTGCGATCAGCCAGAAGTGGCGCTTAGACCGCCTTCTCCAGCGAAAAGCCCGCGAGGGCGTCAAGATATTTGTCATCATGTATCGAAATATCAACTCGGCCATCCCAATTGACTCGGAATATTCCAAGTTCTCCCTTCTTGATCTGCATCCCAATATCTTTGTGCAGAGATCTCCGAATCAATTTAGGCAGAATACTTTTTTTTGGGCACATCATGAGAAGTTGTGCATAATAGATCATACCTTGGCTTTTGTAGGAGGTATTGATCTTTGTTTTGGAAGGTGGGATACGCCACAACATCTTCTCACGGACGACAAACCGACAGGATTTGAAACTTCAGATGGACCTAAGGACGCTGACCACTGCCAGCTTTGGCCTGGCAAAGACTATTCGAACCCACGTGTTCAGGATTTCTACGATTTAGATAAACCCTATGAAGAGATGTATGATCGAAACGTTATCCCCAGAATGCCCTGGCACGATATATCGATGCATGTTGTCGGCCAACCGGCTCGGGATCTCACTCGCCACTTTGTTCAACGATGGAACTATATACTGCGTCAGCGAAAACCAACTCGGCCCACACCATTTCTACTTCCTCCGCCTGATTTTGACGCAGCAGATCTGGAAGCTCTTGGACTAGACGGGACTTGTGAAGTTCAGATCTTACGATCGAGCAGCGCATGGTCCACTGGTACGTCGGACCTTACTGAGCACAGCATCATGAATGCCTATGTCAAGTTAATCGAAGAATCGGATCATTTCGTCTATATTGAGAACCAATTCTTTGTGAGCACCTGTGAGATAGACGGCAGGAAAATCGAGAACCTGATAGGCGACGCTCTGGTAGAGCGGATTACTCGAGCTGCGAAGAACAAAGAGGCATGGCGTGCTGTTATCGTCATACCACTGATGCCAGGCTTCCAAAATACGGTAGACAGTGAGGGCGGGACAAGTGTCCGGTTAATCATGATGTGCCAATATCGTAGCATCTGCCGGGGAGAGACATCTATATTCGGACGACTCCGAGCTTTGGGCATTGAACCTGAAGATTACATCCAATTTTTCAGCCTGCGGGCTTGGGGCAAGATTGGCCCTCACAAACAACTTGTCACTGAGCAGCTTTACATTCACGCTAAATGCATGGTTGTCGACGACCGAGCTGCAATCATTGGGTCTGCAAACATCAATGAACGGTCCATGCTGGGATCGCGAGACTCAGAGGTAGCAGCCGTTGTGCGTGATACGGACATGATCTGGTCCAGCATGAATGGTCGTCCTTACCTCGTCGGACGGTTCCCCCACACTCTAAGAATGCGCCTCATGAGGGAGCATCTTGGCATTGATGTCGATGAGCTCATGGAGCATTCCATGGCGACAGAACAGGAATTGCGAAGGATTCAGATTGCTGAGGAGGGTTCTAAGTCACCAGGAGATCATGAGAGACTCGACCCTGAATCACTCTTGCTGGAAAAACAGGATGAGAGGGACATGATCGAGCGTCGACACCGTATACAAGACGAGTTCCTCTCACGGTCAGAAGACATACACAGCTTCAATCATGATGTCGACTGGGAGCAGGGTGATAATCCTAATCTCAAGTCAAACAGGAAGCTCACCGCAGATGCAAGAGTGACTGCCAACCCAGAACATAAGAAGGATGTGGACGGGTATGGTCCAGATCATCTTAGTACTGCTTTGCAAGCCGGTTTAGGAGAAGCTCGCGATTCTCAACTCTTGGGTGACAAGTTAGAGGTCTTGGTCTCTCCCATTGCGAGCGAGGGGAAAGGCACCATCCAGCAACCGAGACATTGCCCGCCACAAGAAGCCAACTGCGACAAAGAGGCACGTAAGACATCGTTTATTTTACCAGATAATGTCGACGAGCCAGATTCAGTTGTTGAAGGGCTGTCAGCTGCTCGTAACCCAGCTGTATCAGGACATGATACCGAGAGCAGTAGCAATGGCGCTGTTCCCACGACTAAAGAAAATTTCGATACGACGAAGTACCCGCACCCGCTGAGCAAAGACTTGAAACATGTATTCATTGATAAAGACTGCATGAGAGATCCGGTGATTGACGTGTTTTACCTTGACACATGGCATGCTGTTGCCGAGAAGAATACGAAATTGTTCCGGAGCGTTTTTCGCTGTATGCCTGACAGCGAGGTGAAGTCTTGGAAAGAGTATAAGGACTATACTGATTACGGGGAGCGTTTTGCTGAGATGCAGAATCAACACAGTGCTAAGGCATTTCGTCCAGCTCATGCTAGGCAAACTGGCCCGCCTGGTACAGGTGCCAGCTTGATTGCAGGTGGTCTCGCAACCAAGTCAAACCCAATAGCAGCCGGACCAAACGCGGAAGAACAGGCGATAGGTCAGAAGGATCAGTCTCCAACTGAGAAGGCTGACCTCCGACAAGCTACAAATACCCAAAATCACGATCGCACGCGGTCAGATAGCGCACAACAACAAGAAACACTGTCATTTAAAGATGAAAAGATGACTGGGTTGAGGACGGTAGATGCACCAGCATCTGGAAACGTACAAAATGGGCGACATGATGAAAATGGATCATCCGGAGAAGATCATGAGAAGCGGGTTTCAGATCCGCCAGTCGTTGATTATTCGGAGGCTTTGAATCGAAATGCCACAGCTCAATCACGACGACGACGACGAAGAGCTACAACTCTGGGCTCAAAGCGGGAGTTCCACGCATCAGATGAGGTGATGGATAAACAACAAGCGGAAGACCTTCTGAACCAGGTTCAAGGACATTTGATTCTTTGGCCTTATGACTGGTTAGTTGAATATTTCGCTGCATTATGAATGTTAATTCCACCTACTAACTGCTTGAATTAGGCTGGAAAAGGAAGAACAAGGTGGAAATTGGCTGTACACACTGGACCAACTTTCACCGTTGGAAATATAGTAAGTTATCTTCTTTTTAGTTTGTTCAATATCACAGACAGGTTGCTGATTATCGAGCAGTAATTAATGTACAGCGTGTCTTCTGCGTACCTCTGATTTATCCACCTCTCTTTGTGGGACTCTAAGCATATTGGTGAAGCAACAATATTTAGTCGCGATGTGCTCGGTGAATGGCTTCCAATGTTACTTTGGTGCCCGTATTTCTCTTACTTCTACACAGGAAATGGTCTGAATTATCCTATCTCTCGTAATAAATACTGTTAATCTAACATTTTACCTGTCTCCCTGATATTTCTGCATTGCAAGCGCTCTATCCTTAGCCTGTCTTTTTCTTCTTTCCAGTCCATAGTAATCTCCTTTTTGTGTTTCGATACTAGAAATATTCGTCGCTGTGAACTGGCCCAGGGTCACAGAAAACAAAGTTTAAACATTATACAGAGCAACTTCATCTAATATAGGCACAATGACTTATAATCTACATTTAATTAGGTGATAGTATACAGTGCTTATATTACATACAGGTGATTCATCAATGCTCATATACAAGAAGGCCTTCTTCCAGCTTAGGTTATCTGCCCTCGCACTTTGCTAAAGTCATCGAAATTTGCTCGTAAAACAGGGGCAAGAAGACTGTTTCTCAAACCACCATGTTTATGCCGTCCCCATGCACCAAGACATGTGTTAAGGCGATCATATGCGCGCAAAAAGACGTCCTGGAGCTCACAGGTGCGAGAGCATGTGCGGCCGAGATCATTCATGTAATTGGCGGGATCCTGAAGGCATAGCCTCGAGGCCGCCGGAATGTTGCGCTTGATGGCAGCCGTTTTCTTCCGGTTTACAAGTGCACGCTGGCCGCGAAGATGGGCTGGCAAATCCTCTGCATCGTACATTTTGATTGCGTCTTTCACAGTACTTGCATCGAAGAAGCTCGGTGGGTCCACGGAAACACAGGTACTTCTAAGATCAACCTCAGAGCCGTATACCTTTAGAAAAGCAAGGAGCTGTTGGCCTAAGCTCCTTGACTCTTGAAATCGGCCATGTCTCATCTTAAGAAATGCCACAATAAGCATCACGAGAGAATCAGGCCCAATGGATGATTTATGGCTACCGAACAACTCTTGCGCCTCCAATATCAGACGGATAACCATGTATAGCGGCCGGATCGCAGGATATTCAGTATAATAGTCGCATATATACTCAACAGAAGAGGGCAAGCCTTCGCCGCATTGGAATTGCACTCGTATACCGGTCTCATGGTGAACAGCGGTCAGAATAGAGTTCCATTTGCCGCTCAATTGAATCCGACCGCTAAACGACGAGCAATGCTGAAGGGTACATTCTACTCGAGACAGTAGATCACTATGGAAACTGAGAATCTGAGGCCGTGTGGGACTTGGCCTTCGGACCCTGTCGATCGATCGGGCTGGATCTGGCACGGGCAATATGAAGTCCAAATCTGAGTGGCTCATCGCAAAGCCAGTTCGCCGAGAGCCGATGACCTGGGGCGTTTGAGGTACAACATCTCGCAGCATGCTTGTAACTTGTGAAACTATATGGTTTACCCTATCCCGCTCAGGGGGTGTTGGTAACAAATATTCTTCAAGTGCGCGGATCTCTGCATCTAGCTGCAGGAAAGCGTCAGGCCATTCGCGACTTGAATCCCCATAATCCATCCATGGGGATTGCTCCCATCGGCATTGTTCCGTATTTACACCCCATCGCATCTGGTCACACGGGATCGTTTTGGTGGTATTGACGGGAACGTTTTTCAGGGTACGAATATTACTTGCTGTCCGTGTCGATGGCCTAGATGAGACAATTTGTGTCGTAGCTTCTGGAGAAACCGGTTTCCCTGGTCGTTTCAAAGCCAGGGCTTCCTCCACCGGAGTTACAGAGCGGGCGAGGTCTGTCCGGTCGAATACTTTACGAACCAAACTGGTCCTATTCGAGGATCGGTGGGCCTCGAGAGTCCTCGGAAGGCTGCTTTTAAATATAGCCATGTCCTTAGAGTAGAATCTAGTTCCAAGGACAGCTCGATATCTCGACTGAGAAGAGTGAAACGCGTGCTGCCGAAGGGGAGAGAAAGCAGAGGGAAGACCGGCAGGGAGGTAGGAGCGCGTGGTCGCGCGAACAACTGGGCAATCGAGGCATTGCAAATGACTGGCGAGAACCCGGGGCATATACCGGACCAAGGCAACGTTCTAAACTTAAGTAGTTATTATTATGGAAAAGCAGGAGGATGACGAGGCGATCGGATGAATGAGTGATGCAAAAAACCAAGAGACGAAACAAACTTGCTAATGGCAGTTTACACACGCACCTGATTGATCCCGTGCACCTGTTAAACAAATCCGTTTCACGTGGTAGATTCAGCCCTAACAGCGTGCGCCAGTGATTGATTACATAATTGGGTCTCGACGATTCGATGAGATGATTGCTACGTACTAGGAACAACTTATTCTTAGTAGTACTACTACTACTCCGTAGTGCTAGTATTAGACAGGTCTATTACAAGCATGACATCTAGATTGTAGGCCGGGGACAACCCGACTCATCTTCGTACTTCCGTAGGAGGTCATCATTCTGCAGTCATTCTCTGCCTATTTTCAGAAAAGGAGAAGATTTTTATCTCAAGCATTCGGGTAATGACGTACCTGTGTGATGTTGGCGGGGAAAGGACATGATAAAGAGAAATTTCATGGATCGCATCATCCACTCCGGTATCGTAGGGTACGAACGTGAAACCGGTTATTTGGATTGAAAGATTAATTCCATCATTATGGGACTTGCATACTCGGCAGACTATGTCTGGTTGGGTACTTATAGTACCATGATACTATAATTGTTCCCGAGATAACTAAGATAATTAAGGTAGGCAGGGACTCCGTACATGTTTGCTTTTTCTCTCCGAGTCACCGGCCTGGAACAGTCCGTTTTGGGGGGGCGCGTGTGGCCCATCACCGTCCTTGCTTTGGTCTTCCCTCTCTCTCTATCTCCTTCTCTCCCGTTCTACCTTATATCCCTCATGTCTCTCTTCCCTAGCTCGTGAACAATCCAGCTCTTCCTATTGCTTGAGTATATTAAGCGGCCAACAGCCGAGCGAGGCGATTGAAACCACGTTCTTCAGGTCTTCACCGCCTGTGACTTCTAAACGGTCCGCCCCTCGGTTTCTACAAACTTACCGTCAACCCTCCAGTCAGTGACCCATTCTCTCTCTCTTCCCTCCCCCCCACTCCGTCTCCCCTTCCCTCACTCTTTCACTCTTGTTGAAGAATAAAAAGAGAGAGAGAGAGAGAGAGTGAGTGAAGGAAACCATTCACCACTCATTCAGCAACAATTCCTTATTTACGCTGTTCTAACTCTCCCACAGCCCCCAGCAGTTCAATGATTGTCGTTTTGCCGTCCAGGGCATAGTTCGCGGTTTCCCCCCCCTTCTCCCCCACCAAACTAGCATTATCTATCTCTCCCATTCCATTTCTCCGAGGTACTTGCGACTCTAAACGTCCTACAATCTGCCCACACCCCTCTTGTTGGTCATCGATCTCGTACACCGAAGTTCGAAGACAATGTCGTTTCTCTGACTAGTCTTGGAAACTTCAGATCGAGTAGCTGATTAGTTCCTCGTCCCGCTGTCATCCGCCTTTACCCCTTGCATCATTACTTGTTTTATCTATACCTGAGCATGTCCACCGAACAAAAGACGACTCCTGCAAAGACCCCCCGTGACCAACCTGACCCGGTTCTGGTTGGTCCGGGCCTCAAGGCTCTAGGTGAAGAGGCTTACACCAAGGCCTCAACTGCCACGCCTATTCCGGGTGGGGAGAAAAACCAATCTTTAGCTACCGATACGCCTTCGTACTTCGCTGTAGCTCCTGGCGAAAGGGCGTCTTCGGAGTCGTCAAATGCGACCCCTACCACTCCTGCTCAGGCAGCCAAGGATGTGAGGTCGAGAATCGAACTCTTGCGTCGTTTGAGTCTAAGGGAGACACCCAAAGTGCTGGAGGAAGATCTACGTCAACAACACCCAGGTTTGCGTCTCTCTGGGCGAATCATCAGCGCCGCCTTCTGTATCCCATACAAAGTTTACTACCGGCGGGGATCTTATTGGGTGTGTATTCCCCGTTTATCTATCCAGTAGTACCCTCATTTCCATATTATGGCCTAGCAGAATCTTCAGGTAGATTAATCAGTCAATAGGAGCTCAAACCCCGTCCGGGAACCTCGGCACTTTTTGATTCTTTGGCATATCTAGGTTCTGAGGATACTAATTGGTCTCATACGCTCGTTGGCTGGACCGGCGAAGTAGAACCAGTCCCAGAGGACACAGTGCCATTGCAGCAAATCCCCATAAACACCAGTGCCAAGCTGCCAGCTGCAGCTAATGGTACAGCAAAACCCCTCAATAAGGCGGCCGCTCCTGTCCCTGTGGACGCCAATCAACGGCCACCTAGCCATCCTCTCCTAGATGGTTTCGCAGTCAGTCAGGACGATCGAAACCGACTAGATGAGCAGTTAGACTCTGGGCGCTACGGTAAAATTGTCCCCGTGTGGCTGTCGGCCGAGACAGAAACCCCGGAGGATACGATCTCCTTGGAGGATCAAGGTAGATGGAGGCGATACGCAGAAAGGGAGCTGTATCCTCTCCTGCACTACAAGCAGCATGGCCCCACAGATGGCCGATCTGAGCGCAACTGGTGGGCGGATTACGTACGAATGAATCGGTTATTTGCAGACCGGATTCTGAAAGAATATCAGGAAGGCGATATTGTTTGGATCCATGACTACCATCTTTTCCTTTTGCCCAGTATGTTGAGGCAGCGGATCCCAAACATCTACATCGGCTTCTTCCTACATGCCCCATTTCCCAGTAGCGAGTTTATGCGCTGTCTAGCTAAGCGCAAGGAGGTGCTTACCGGAGTATTGGGTGCGAACATGATTGGTTTTCAAACTTTCTCATACTCTCGCCATTTTTCATCCTGCTGCACTCGAGTGCTTGGATTTGACTCCAACTCTGCCGGCGTTGATGCGTATGGCGCTCACGTGGCCGTTGACGTCTTCCCTATCGGT